GACATCATTTGGAATTTTGACTCTTTTCCCCTCATTTTTAACCTGTTAACTGTCACCCCCCTTTTTTTTATATACATGAAAATGCACATTTCGAACTTAAATGGTTGTAATTCAAGAATACTTTGGAATATAGACGTAAGATTGGTCTCGTTTTAAAGAAGACATTTGGCAGAAGTGAAATAAATTAATCTGGGGTTCTTCATTTTAGACTCACAGTCAGGACCTTCGGGTCAAAAATGACCCGGAGGGCGGCATTAAGATACATTTTATTTGAGTAAAATCAATGAAATATATTTTTGTTCAATAATATTTTTTCTTTTCTTTTTTGGTGTTTTGAGATAATTTTATGATTTATAATTAATATTTATGCAATAATTAAGACCCATTTTTCCCCATTGAATATAATAGAAAATTTATATATATATATGTAATTTAAAAAAAAAAAATTTAAAGCTGTATTTCATTTTAGGGTCAAGTCTAGGCCTCATGAAATCAATTTTTGAAATGAGATCGGAGCCATCTGGTGGACACACTGAGCATTTTTATCACGCAATAGCACATTTTTACCACTAGTGGATTTACAGCTCTCTGTAGAAACCTATGGTAGGAACACTCTAGTGATTTTTTCACATATTGTGTAATTTTTTTTAGGTTGTTGATTTGAATATATAATAACAGATTCTCAAAGACTATTTTTGTCATTTTTTTTAATTTAAAAAATTTTTTTTTTTTTTGGTTGGTTTAAATGGTAATTTGAAGTGGCAGTTTTACTTTATAATACAGTCAAACCTGAACACTGCATTATAAAGAGAACAAATGGAAAGCATTTTGTCACCCATTGTTTTAAGAGATTCACCCCTTCACTGTTGTGTGCTTTTTTTCTGCATCCTGGCTGTTTTGTAGATTGTATGCACAAAAAAAACTCTGTATTTTCACATTTTTGCCAATTTCCCATTTATTTCCTATGGGGGTCATTTTTGACCCGAAGGTCCTGAGTGTGACTATTTTGTTTTAAGACCACTTAGACTTTTCAAATCCTTTCCCCAATTTTTTTGGGTGTTCATATACCAAGTACCAAAAAAGTCACCAATTTTGGACCATTCCGATGAAGCTACGATTTCTAAAAAAAAATTATTTAAACGCTTCGGGACATTTTTGACCCGAAGAACCCCAGAGGGTTAAGAAAGTGAAACAGAAAAAAAGTTATAGAAGTTTGAGTTTATGAAAATGTACAATGTAAAAAAATGTAATTATTCATGTTTTATATAAAATATGTATTTTCAAAACCTGGGCGACTCTAAAACTGCACAAAAAAAAATCAAAGGCAAAAATCTGAACAAGCTGTGTTTCAAATTTTAGGTTGATATCTCAAAAAATGAGCTTTCAGTGAGATGGGCGCAGTACCAAATTTTTTCACTAGATGACAACCAGACTCCATTACTGCCCATATAAGGGCGCCTCCATTTCCATATGTGTTTTGAGTGATTATGAACCATTATTTCCACAATTTTCATACAATTTATGATGTAGACATCCTATTCAGAATATGAGAAGTTTGGCAGATTTTTATATGAATTCAACCTCTAAGAAAGACATAAAAAGAACAAGTATGTGCATTATAGCTTCCTGCCACATCACAAATGGTGAATCTATAATTTTTTTCTTTATATTTAAAAAAATGTCAGACATTTTTTTCTAAATTAATTGAATGGATGCTATCATCACAGGCTATATTTGAACTCTTGGCATGAAAACAAACTGAGGTTTCTACCCTTCTTTCGTGATTTTTCATGTTCATCACTATTTCAAAATAAAGGTCTAAACACGCCTGAGGAGTATGAAAATATTCTTGTTGCAAATTGATAAATTACGGCTCCTCTGTAATTTATTTTGAAAGTCACCAAATCACCAAATATGGAAACTAGAGATTGTAAGCTTTCAAATGATATATAGTTTGTCAAGATTAGTTTAGGTTTAGTATAGGATATTACTGTATTAAAAATGTAATGGATTTGAGCCCACCGGTGGGCCGGTGACACTTATCCAAATATTTACTTAATCAAAATTGCCTAACAGTAAAAACAGTAATATTATGAAATTTTATTACAATTTAAAAAAACTTTTTTAATTTGATATATTTAAAAATGCCATTTCTTCCTGTGATGACAGCATCATTACTCCAGTCTTCAGTGTCACATGATCCTTCAGAAATCAATCTAATATGCTGATTTGCCACTTACTGTAAGAAACTTTTCTGATTATTGCCAATGTAGAAAACAGTTGTGCTGCTCAGTATTTTTGTGGTGATACAGTGATCCTTTTTTTTTCAGAATTCAAGTACAGCATTTTTGAAATATAAATATTTTGTAACTTTAAATGTCACTTTTGATCAATTTAATGCACCCTAATATTGATGAAAGACAAGATTATTTATTTGGAATAACGAACACTAATTAATCATTTGCATGTACTAAAAACAAATGGTTGAATTATGATTTGGTGTTTGATATTTAGTCAAACAAATCCCAATTCCTCATGCAATCAGTTTTATACATCATAATAAGAAGATATGTTGTCAGAGGAGCACAACAGTATAAAAATAATCAATTTAGCCTATAGTGGCCCCATGTGAACAAATGTCTGGGCATGTAGACAGCGGACTAAAACAGGCGTAGTGTTAGAGACAGAGTTCAGGGACTATAAAAGTGTAATATTAAGCTCAGACACCAAAACAATAGGAGGCATGTGTAACAGAGAACAAGTGAAAGGAGTTGCATGTGGTGTTTTATAGGGTTCTGTAAATAAAGCATATTACATGGACGTAGCATACAGTGCTTCTGTTTTATAGAATGTCATTCTTTCTCTTGAGTTAACCACATTAGACAGATTGTGAGTGTGTGTGTGTGTGTGTGTGTGTGTGTGTGTGTGTGTGTGTGTGTGTGTGTGTGTGTGTGTGTGTGTGTGTGTGTGTGTGTGTGTGTGTGTGTGTGTGTGTGTGTGTGTGTGTGTGTGTGTGTGTGTGTGTGTGTGTGTGTGTGTGTGTGTGTGTGTGTGTGTGATGACATGCAGAGCCATATATCCAACGCCATAAACCTGTCAGAGTGATGTGGGCACTTCTCTCCTGATGCACTTAAAAAAAAAAGCCATTTATATTTAATCTCAAGAGATGCTAAGCTAAGCTATCATATGTGGCCATTTAAACAAAGATGTCATGCGTTGGATCCGTATAAACCCATATACTGGTTTATTGTTTGAGGGTTATTTTCAGGATTGCTGTAAACTCATTGAGAAAGAACAGATACAGGATATGAGAGTATATAGAATAGAATAGAATAGAATAGAATAGAATAGAATAGAATAGAATAGAATAGAATAGAATAGAAGCTATGTGTGTGTGCGTGTTCAGTATTTAATGTTTTAGAGAAACCACATTGATTACTGCTGAAAGCATTTTTGATTTTGATAGTACCACAATATTAAGGCATATTCGGATATGGTACTGAAAAAAATAGAACGGACAGACAGACAGACAGACAGACAGACAGACAGACAGACAGACAGACAGATAGATAGATAGATAGATAGATAGATAGATAGATAGATAGATAGATAGATAGATAGACAGACAGACAGACAGACAGACAGACAGACAGACAGACAGACAGACAGACAGACAGATAGATAGATAGATAGATAGATAGATAGATAGATAGATAGATAGATAGATAGATAGATAGACAGACAGACAGACAGACAGACAGACAGACAGACAGACAGACAGACAGACAGACAGACAGACAGACAGACAGACAGATAGATAGATAGATAGATAGATAGATAGATAGATAGATAGATAGATAGATAGATAGATAGATAGATAGATAGATAGATAGATAGATAGATAGATAGATAGATAGATAGAAAGATAGACATTTCTCGTTTTTCCGTGTGAGAAATACAATGTGTGGCGGGAGTGCGTGACAAAAGACCGAAATGAGTGACTGTCATGCTCAATGCGTGACACTTGAGAGCCCTGGGTGTGTGTGTGTGTGTGTGTGTGTAGGCCTATGTGTGTGTAATACACACACACCCCATCACTGAGTAAGTCTCTCTCAGTTAAATGTATGTGTTAATGTGAGAGAGAGAGAGCACACGCATGATATGAGTAGCCTATTAGATAGATAGATAGATAGATAGATAGATAGAAAGATAGATAGATAGATAGATAGATAGATAGATAGATAGATAGATAGATAGATAGATAGATAGATAGATAGATAGATAGATAGATAGATAGATAGATAGATAGATAGATAGATAGATGAATTACTATGAATGTATTTGCATACTCCAATATACTTAATACCAAGGTATTGCATGGTGCATGTAAAAAAAAAAAAAGAAAAAAAAAACTACAATACTTATAAAAAGTACCATTGCCATATTTTATTTATTTATTTGGACATGGCAGCCTACTATGATACTCATACATATTATATTACCAAAAGATTCTGTACAGTAGCCTACATGTATAGTGGTACCATGGTAAATATCATGATGGATTTAGGCTACTATAGTATAAATTTCCATCTACTAAGACCATCACATCATGTAGGCTACCATGATACAGTTCGGTATTTTATATCATGTAAAAACTAAGATACTGCCATACTTGTTTCAAAACGTGGCATAATCATGGTACATGTACAAAAAAATACAGTAATACGATTGTGGTACGTTTTCTTATATCTAGTAGGCTACTAGCTATCTATGAATTCATAATTGCCCTCCCACTCTCTTCTCTCTCCCACTCGCACACAGAGAGAGAGAGACTCTCACGATCCTTGGCTTCAGCCATTAGAGCTTCAGGATCGTCACACGAGAGAGATCACCCAGCGCACGCGAATCATCATTTCATCACAGATATGGGTTTCCATCGGTCTGTCGGGTGGACGACGAGATCGGCTGGTTTCTGCACGGATAACTGCCATCTGTTTTCATGTCCAGCATCTTTCTGAAGTGTTTCAGGTAAACGCTACAAGTGAACGCGATCACTGTCGCGCGCTTTGATGGTCTGTTGGATTCTGTTGAGTAATACAGTGGCAAACCTGAAAACGAAGCGTGATTTGGCGCGTTTCACCTGAAAAAAGGTGGATCTCACGAAAACATGTTCGGGTCACATTTCACCCCAACATCAAAATGAAAAATATTTTTGTAGCTTTAATATTTCTGAGTTGTGACATTATTTTAATGACAATTAAGCACATTTTACACTTTTTACATAGCCTAAAGATGTTTTAATTGCTTTTGATTCTGAATGATGATTCTCATTAGATTGTAATGCAGTCATGATAACTATTGTTTTAGCTTTATTAATTAAACATAAATGAAATCGTTTATGCATAGGCATATTTTACCATTTACATTATTTATGTCTATAATATAAACATATAGTAATTTAAATGGTAAAATAGGCCTATGCCTAAATTATTTATTTATTATATATGTTTGCATTATGTTAAATAGGGGTGCTTGCTTAATCATCATGTATATCATGCCAAAAATGAATGCAAAACAAATAAAGTAATGTTCTTTATTTATTTATTTTAAAAGTGTGTATTTTAAGTGTGGGAAATACGTCATTTTGATTTTGAGGTGTTCTTGTCAGTTGGTCGGTAGACTATAATTAAACGCTATTGAGAAGTTGGCGTGGGCAGCAGATTTTCCTCTACATGCTGTCTACGTGTCTGAACTATATGGGTACAGAGAAGGAACAGAGATCTATCGTAATTTGAGTGTTGCATTGATGTACAAAGTCTTATAGGTCTACTTGTTCATTACATTTTTTAATTTCCTACATTTCAATATGGAAATTAAACATTTAGCTGCACTTGTTTGAGATCAAACAATAATTGATCTGTTGAAGACCCCTGAAATTATTGGGATATACCTGGAGATGCCAAGATGACCTTGTGTTTGCTGATTAGTAAGTAAGTATTTAAAGGGATAGTTCACCCAAAAATAAAGTGTTAGTTGCATAGCTGTCAATGGAGGGAGGGACAGAAAGCTCTCAGATTTCATCAGAAAGATCATCATTTGTGTTCCAAAGATGAGCAAAAGTCTTACAAGTTTGGAACGACATGAGAGTAAATAATGACAGATTTTAATTTTTTGGTGAAACCCTTTAAAATCTTATAACTAAAAAAAATTTCGTTACTTCAAATAAAACTGGAATAATATATAAACATTACATTGAAAGAACAACTTAAATGAAAACGAGAAATGTTACAGTAACACTGTCAAGAACAAGTAGTGACATTTCATGGATCAACACTTGTGGGGTTTGAACCTACAGCCTTTCAGTTACTAGTCCAGCATAAAGTTGGCATGAGACAGAAGTTGCGATAATCTTTTCTTCCCGTTAGTATATCTGAGTGAAACGGCTTCTCGAACAAGAAAAAATGTAGGACAGTATTTGATTTTGTCAAGGGGGTAATCCATCAGCCGGAAGTTGAAGCCTTGCGGGAGCCGCCATTGTAGCAGAACTTCACCTGCTGTTAGCATTTCATTGACTCCCATTCATTTGGCGTCACTTTGACAGCGAATAACTTTACATCTGAGGCGTCCAAAGACTTCATTTGTCCATTATTTATTTCGAAAGAAACACGACAATGTATAAAAGGCTCCATTACTTTGTATCTTACGTTACGGCCCCGTAGAAGCCGTTTTTTGTAAAAATAGGCTAACAATTGCGCCATAACCACGCAACTTTCTGTCGCACAATAGAGACATTACCGTATAGACCAGAGGAGAAGCTCGCAGGCAATCTTTTACTGTCTTCGAGGCAATCAGGGGGACATGGAGGCATAAAGTCAAGGGAGAAGCCCATAGATAGAGAGTCCATAAAAGCAACGGGACAAAATATTTCAACAACGTTTTTGAGGAATTAGGTGATTCAGATTTGTGTTTGCACAGCTACTAGAAGATTTACAAATGTCTGACTGTCGTCAAGCTCAGTTTGAGCCTGCGCAGTCGCTCAGACATCAGACAGGAAGTGCAATAATCGGGCTTCAGTCTTCTCCGTTGAAATCAATGGGGTCGCTGTGTCCATTTCTTTTACTGTCTATGGATTTAGTCCATGGGGAATTGATTGGATGGTTGTGGTTTGCTATTGGTGGATGTTATGTGAGTGACAGGTTGCCCCGCCCTCATGCCAGTAAACACATCATCAGAGAAGAGAAGAGATGTCCCTGTGAGTGGGAGGGGAAGTTATTTTGATTAAAGATCATGAGGGCACGTGAATTTTAAAAAAAATAATGATGTGCACAGATAAATCATTTATAATAATTACTACAATATTCCATGAAAAAAAGAAGAATTGTCAATTCTGATTTCATGTTTAACCGAGCTGCATCCCAAAATGACTTTGCTGTATGATGACTCATTTATGGTCACAGGAACTATGGAAATAAAATGTGTCTTTCTGTGTTTAATGTCTTAGGGAGAGTTTAACAGCTTTGCATTGGAAGAACTGTGCAATGAAGACATCAATGATGGATCTTAAAGTGGAACCTATGGACATTGATTACGACCAGCCGCCTCCCCTGCAAGTGTTCGCTCACACCTCGACTCTGCATGGCATCTCTCATATCTTCTCTTATGAGAAGATCACGGCCAAATGCTGCCTCTGGGTGGTGTTTTTCCTCAGCTCTTTGACCTTTCTCATGTACGTCTGCGTCGATCGGATTCAGTTCTACCTGGAATACCCTCACGTCACCAAGCTGGACGAGATCACGACGCCCGTGATGGTCTTCCCCGCAGTGACGATTTGCAATCTCAACTCCATCCGCTTCAGCAGGATCACACGCAACGACCTGTACCACGCGGGGGAGTTGCTGGCGCTGCTGAACTCGAGGTTGGTGAACGCGTGCGTATCAGTCAAGCGGCTGTGGTTAAGTTTTAAAAATGAGCATGAGTCACTCGCTCAGTAGATTATGCTCTCGTATTCCCCGCATGAACGCACAAGCACATTGGAGTGTAAATGATTAGCATGTTTTTATTGAACTTGAGGAGCGGAAATGAAAATGCAGAGCTCTGGGGAGTCCCTGTTACTGAAGTTATATATTTCATGCATCTCCATCTTGTCGTATGGAGCCCATAAGTGCTTTTCTGGCAAATTGAAAGATGCAGTCTGATCATTGTTCCATTTTAATTTAGGAAAGTGACCCGTAGATTGTGAAACGGCAGATGTGACGGGTCTTTTTTGGATTGTGGAGCTGCAACTTCATTATTAAAAAAACGAAATCTTTGGCTGTAGGAACAGTATCTGCTTCCATCTGGCATCAGGAAGTCGTGATTTAGTTACTGCAGTGTTGTAACACCCAGCAGCTGTGATGTGATGTGGGTTTGAATTGGACCTCAGTCATGCCTGTTTCTGCATTCCAAGTGCTCACACACACTGTCTCTTTCTCGGTTTTATTCTGTATTCGGTCCAGTGTGGCACTTTTCGACATGTTTACAGGGAACTAACCTTGACTATTCATCATCCTGAAAGGAACATGCACAGATGTGCTGCATCAAGGGCATAAAATAAATATTGGGTAACACTTTACTTAAAGGGGTGTGCATAAGACTGGCATGACACCTTCATAACCATGACATATGTCATGAATATGAAGTAGGGTTTATGCATGTTTATGACAACTGTCATTAAGTTTCTTTCGCTCAATAATGACATTTTGAATGCAAATATGACATTGTTTAGGATGTCTTTGTTATGACATCTTGACATAAACTATAACATCATAACCTGTCAGTGTCTTTGTCATGACAACTTGACATTAAATTAAGTTAAACTGTCATGTGGTTGGTTTTGACATTGGCTGTCATAAGGCCATTATAACAGTTTCATGAATATTTTTTGTGACCTCAACTACAGTGGTACAAATTGAATTTGTCATTAAAAAGTTACAATGGCTTCATGACAGCCAATGTCAAAACCAACCACCTGACAGTTTAATGTAATGTTAACCAATAAAGCTAAGTGGTTTCTTAAGTTTGATAATTAATCTGCTATGTCATGTTTATGACAGGTTGTGTTGTCTTGGTAATGTCAAGTTGTCATGACAAAGACACTGTCAGGTTGTGATGTATTGGTTTATGTCAAGGTGTCATAACAAAGACATCTCAAACAATGTCATATTTGCATTAAAAATGTCATAACTGAGCGAATGACACTTAATGACAGTTGTCATAAACATGCATAAAACTTCCTTCATATTCATAACATGTGTCATGTCATGATTATGAAGGTGTCATGTTAGTCTTATCCACACCCCTTCAAGTAAAGTGTTACCAAATATGGACATTGTGCCATTATTTGGGCTCAGTTATGAGTGTAGTCAAATTGAGATTTAATTTTGAGATTTTGAGTTAAGCATGTCTTTATATGTTGTCACTGTTGTTATTATAATTTTTTTTAAAGTAGGGTAGGTCATTTTTTTCATAAACACTTTTTGTTATTTTGGTTGAAACTCTCTTCACATCCTCATAGCAATAAATAATAGAAGTGGTCTAATATAAAAAAATCTAGATACTAAATATGTTTGTCCAATCATTTTACTCGGTCAACTATGCAATGATACGAGTATGATGTCATACCTGCCTGTTAACATAATGTATTTCCATAACTCCACACACACTGCTCACGCAGACATCACACGTCATCAGTGTGTTCCGGATGGCTATGCAGAGTTGTAGACAGTCACCGAGCATCATAAACAAACAGCAGCCGCCTTTTACTGTTTTTCCTGAAACAAAACAACAAGCCATGTCGTAACCGTAATTGCAAGATGGCAACCGGTGATGTTCTACCCGGAGCTGTTTACTTCCTCAGATTTGGATTTATGTATTTCAGTGTCAACATTATCAACGTCGAAATGAATCTGCAGCAGTCAGGTGGTACATGTAAGAGCTCTGTAAGTTTTTTATGTTCATTATTATTGTAATGTTATGTGCTTTGAGACATGAGGTAACTTAACGCCATCTCTCGTGACGCTTTGCAGACTCTGCTGTGTGCGTTCATGTGTTTTGAAGGAGGCGTGGCTCTGAAGGGAGGGTGGGATCTAATGCTATTAATGATAATAAGTAAATAATACATTAAACATTAGTATGCAGGCTTCAAATATAGTTCAGTTAAATAAACATTGCAATTTTTTTTTATGAAAATGTAGTACTAAAATGAAAACAAAAAAAACACATTACAGGTAACAAAACAAGTAGGAGGTCTATTTAATACTTAATGCACGTATCTATTTTCAAACATCACAGTTTCAGATTCAATCCCTCATTTTAATATGGTTTTCTCTCCCGAAACTTTGCAGTGTGTACTTTTATTCAAATTATAAATGGGTTACACCAGAAAGCGATCTAAAAATCTGTCTGTACTGCACAATGGATCTCTTATTTACATCGTCTTACATTTTTGTACTTTGTTGTTTATAACGAAATGATTGGCGAATAAACTCTGGCGTATTGAGCAGATTCTGACTAACCTAAATGTCTCTAATTGGGCATTGCGTTCACGCGCTCAACAAACATGTCTGTGATTGGCTGCAGAAACATGTTGTAAATAAAAACATTTGACGCTCTTCACAAAGCGCTATACAGACGGGAGCTCCTCTTTTCAAAAATATATTTTGAAAATGCCTTTATGTCCATACAATAAATTCAATGTGGTCCAATCTTGTTTTGGACCCCACTGAACTTCCATTGTATAAAAAAAATAAAAAAAACAGTTCACTGAATGGTTCTTTGGGGAACTTGAAATGGTCCTTCAAGGCATTGCTGCAATAAACCCTATTTGGACCCTTTATTTTTAAGAGTGAACTCTTGGTATTTTTGTGTCTTGTCTCTATAGACATGAGATTCGGGACTCTCACCTGGTTGAAGAAAGCGTGATGGAGGTTCTCAAGAGCAAAGCAGACTTTCGCCTATTCAAGCCACGACACTTCAACATGTGGGAGTTTTATAATAGAACAGGACACGACATTAAAGACATGCTGCTGTCCTGCCAGTTCCGAGGCTCGCCGTGCCGACCCGAAGACTTCAGCGTGGTGAGAAACTCTAGGGATGCACAGTGATAGATTTCTTTGAGCTCTTTTCACTTCAAGCCCCAATACTGCAGCCCTTGTGTACTTATTTGATGCAAATCTCTCTGGTGTACTGAGAGAGCCGGAAGCTTTTTCTAGGTTTCATCCAAATGCTGGGGTGTGATATTTGACAGTCCAATCATTTACGCTGCTGGAATGAAGTTTGTAGTTCTCGAGATTTCCCAGGGTTCACATTGTGCTGTTGAGTTGTTTTATGGCTTTCATTTCACAACACTAACAAAAATGACTGAAAAATACCCATTTTCTTTTATGTATCCGGTAACATGGTAAAGTCAGGGCTCAATTATAATGATGACGCGATGGCCTGAGGCTAGTGTGAGAGAGGTTTGGGCCAGAGAGCTGTCAATTCAGTTGAGTTTGCATGCATTCAGAGCGGCTGTTGTGTGAACGGGGGAGTCTACTCACAGGATGTGCATTCAAAACATTATAGCAGTTTAATTTATACATTACGGTTTACTAGTTTGGGGTCAAAGAGTCTCTTATGCTTACTGCAGCTCTCATGCTGCATGTTTTGATCAAAAATACAGTAAAAAGAGTAATATTGTGAAATATTATTCCAATTTAAAATAACTGTTTTCTATTTGAATATATTTTAAAATGGAATTTATTCCTGTGACGCAAAGCTGAATTTTCAGCATCATTACTCCAGTCTTCAGTGTCACATGATCCTTCAGAAATCATTCTAGTATGCTGATTTGCTGCTCATGAACACATGATCCTTTCTTTATAATCAGACAAGATGTAAACCTGGCACTGCAATATATATGTTGATCACTGTGGGCTTACCGTAGTGAATTGATGTCAGGCAAGAACACAGGAGAAAAAGAAGGATTTACTTTGAAACAGTTTTCACTCATAAATTGCTTATACATTTCATGAATAATTACAAAGAAACGCAAGTAACACATTAAATTAAAATTGAAATTTTGAAGTAGAAAGTATGTAAAACACTCAAAGACAAAAATAAGGATTTTTTAAAGTGTACTTACCATGGAAATACCATGATACATGCCTGTGGTAATCATTCAGTACCATGATATACAGTTGTAATCGAAATTATTCAACCCCCATTGTGAATAAGGTTTATTGGCAAAATGTACAGACTTTCAGCTGTTTGCAATGAACAAATAAATAAAAAAGAATTTGAAATAGCTCAACACAACAAATGTTTCAAGTGATTTCCCCAAATTCAACTGAAAATGCAACTTTGAATGACTTCTGCAGTCTCAAAAATATTCAGCCCCTTCATGGCAAGCATCTTTAGTACTTAGTAGAAAACCCTTTTGCTGTTATGACCTGCTGCAAACAAGGTGTACAACCAGACACCAGCTTCTGGCAGCGTTTCTGAGGAATCTTAGCCCATTCCTCATGAGCAATGGCCTTTAGTTCAGTAATATTCTTGGGTTTGTGTGCTGCAACCGCCTTTCTTCAAATCCCACCAGATATTTTCTATGGGGTTTAAGCCAGGTAACTGTGATGGCCACTGTAGAATCTTCCAGGACTTCTTCTGAAACCAAGCCTTGGTGGAATTTGAGCTATGCTTGGGATCAGTGTCCTGTTAGAAGGTCCAATGACGCCCAAGCTTCAGCTTCCCCACTGACGGCATGATGTTTTCTCCTAGGATTTCCTGATACTTCAATGAATCCATCTTGAATCCATCGCGAACTATGCTTCCAACAGTGTCTCTAGGAACATTTAGTGCCTTTGCTATCTTTTTGTGTTCCTTGTTTGTGAATGGCGATGATATCTTTGGACCATTCTTTTGACTTAGCCATATTTCTAACATGAGGTCAAACGTGACACTCAACAAACCTAGCCAGTTCAGATATTTCATGTGTTCTTGCTCAAGCACACCTGGTGCAACTAATTAAGCCCTTGGTTTGTTGCATCAGGTGTGCTTGAGACAACACCTGTTTTGCAGATTTGTGCTGATGTGAGGGATTCTATTCAGAGGGTTGAACATTTTTGAGATTGCAGTCATTAAAAGTTGCATTTTCAGTTGACTTTGGGGAAACCACTTGACACATTTGTTGTGTTGAGCTATTTCAATTTATTTTGTTTGATTTGTTCATTGCAAACAGCTGAACGTCTGAAAATGTTGCTAATAAACCTGATTTGCAATGGGGGTTGAATATTATCGATACCAGCAACTGTGCATCAGTGTACCATGGTTGTACCGTCCGAAACCACAGCTATAGTATTGTTTTTACATGAGAAGCCAGTGACTCAGACCTACAATTTTAACTGTAAGCGATGAGAGCAGATGTGAGCAGCAGCTCATTACTGAAAATGAGCATTGGAGCAAGAGTTCACTATGACACTGTAAGGGCTATGTTGCTGAAAAGGTTACTTTGATGATGTAACCATGTTTCTCTCCAAGTTTCCATGGCGACATGTGGAACTGACCCCCCCATCCCCGTCGGAAGCATCTGAAATCTTTTGTGTGGTGTGTTGGTGATAATGCCCTACTTACTCAAATGCCAACATGAGCGTATTGTACAGGGATTTTTCTCTAAATATAAATGCTTGTATAACAGCATTAGTAGTTCCCTGATGTGCAAAGAGTCTCCCAAAAAAAACCTCTGCATGTTTCTTATTCCCCGATGATTTTATCTTCACCTTCATTGCCGGGCTTTTGAAGAAAAGCAATCCCATTTGCTTCAGGCTGCTTTAAACTCCCACAGCAGGGAAAACTCCAGCAGGCTTTAAAATAGGTCAGTGTTAAATATTAGATTTGGTGTGATGTGTGAGAGAGCGTCTGGGACATTCTATTTTTTATCTCTGTCTTCACTGACTCAGTGCTTTGGGAAAAAATAGCCTAGTGAAGTGCACCAGACTTTTTGTAGGCTAATTGTTAATGGAGTTCGAGGGATGGCTCTCCTTGGTCTATTTCCACGACCAGCCTGCTCCTATTTTGTGCTTTTGATTTTTTTTTCAGCCCTGTGTGGCTACAACTAAATGCTTGATGGGTTTCGTTCTGGGAGGGGAATTGCTTGCTTCATTGGCCTTGATGACTGAAGTCATTCGGCTCGAATGCTGTTTATACACTCTCCAAACTGCTTTATTTGGCACTTTCCACAGATAGGATGTGCTTGGTGATGCATTACTGTTTTCTGTCGTGAGACCTATTAAAAAGTTCTCGCACAAGTAGCTTGTTTTAAAACAGTGGATCTCAACCTTTTTGACTTGAAGGCCCCCTATTGTCCACAACAATATTTGAAGGCCTAATAAGAAAAATCTCAATTTTTTGTTGGTTTTAAAACAAAATATCTGGTGAGTTTTTTGGCCTGTCAGAGGACTTGACTTTCTCTTCTGTGTCCAGCACGTCATAATCTTTACATTTTATGTTGAATTGATATTCAATTAATTGTAGTAAAAAGTAAAAAGTAAAAAAAAATTATTATTAATTATTTTAAAACAATATTTTAAATAATGTCAATTCCCTCCATTTCAATAACTGTAAAATTATTTAAAATTCTAACCCAACAATTTACATCATTTGGACTCTTTCTTCCACATGGCGGGAAATCAAGTAAATAATCTTGTTCCATTGTCTCAATTCTTACATATATTGTTTTGTTAACCGAATTTGTCAAGCTCAATCAATCAACCCTGTTAAATCAATTTAATTTATCCTGAATTTGCATAACGTTTATACATAACCGTTCAAAGATTGGGGATGAGTTTTATAAGAGTTATATGAGTTTTTTTTTTTTAAGAAATAATACTTTTATTCAGCAAGGATCATTAAATTAATCAAAAGTGACAGTAAAGACCTTAATAATGTTACCAAATATTTCTGTTTTAAACTCTCTATTCAGCCAAGAAAAAATGAAGCAGCACAACTGTTTTCAACACTGATAATAATAAGAAATGTTTCTTGAGCAGCAATTCAGCATATTAGAATGATTTCTGAAGGATCATGTGACACTGAATACTGAAGTAATGATGCTGATTACACAGGAATAAATTACATAAAAAATATTAACATAGAAAACAGTTATTTTAAATTGTAATATTATGTCAAAATATTGCTGTTTTTACAGTTTTTATTATGAGATAAATGCAACCTTATTGAGCATAAAAGAAACCACAATATATAAGCCAGCATGTAACAAAATATAGAGCTGGATGAGATAAAGAAAAGATACAAAAGCACAGTCACACAAGTCCACTTTTCTGCACTGAGACTTCTTTAATAACAAATGCCAATGTTTCAGATCTTCAGTTGCAGATGAATAAATTATTGTGCAATAAATAAAAGAATCACACATGATAATGAGACAGTGATTAAAGTGCCTTTGCATGCCGTCTGTGCTCCTACCCCACGTAAATGATGTTTACAGCTAATCATGACGGCTAATTGGACTCCAGAGTGTTGCCGAAGGAGAGACCGGAAGATGGTGGGGGGTCGTTTGCATAAAGAATGAAGACCATTGATAGTTTTTCAAATACTGAAATACTATCAAATACTAACTGACTAATCTAGGCATCTTTAACTCAGTTAGCCCATTAAAATGTTTCTCAGACATACTTTAATTTTTTTGATAATGACAAAATAATAAGGCAATGTTTGTTCCTTTTTAGCATGTTATTCTATATGCAGTAATTTTAAACTTATGCATTTTTCAGATGTGAGTGCTGCTTGCTTGCACTGCATATAGAGTTGCTAAGATGTTCTGAGTGTTGCTATGCAAAAATTGGGGTGTTCCGGTGGTTGCTAGATTGTTGCTGATTTGTGTGACTTGGCAAGAAGAGGCGTGCTATTACTTTTCTAAGCAACCAGACTTACTAGTATTTTTTCCTAAGGATGAAAAACATGTTTTAAAAAAAAAGGTAACACTTTACAATTAGGTCTCGTTATTTAACAACGGTTAATGCATTAAATACAGTCCTGTCATGAAACTCTTGCTGGCACAGGCTGATAGGTCAAACTCAATCTGCTTGCAATCACATCATTCTCTATAGGGCACAGCTGATTGGTTATTGCTGTGTCAGTAACCAATGACCTCGCTGCTCAACCTTCAAATAATGTACTGGGTCAGCATTTTCTGTAGCAGCCGTAGCTGCAGTAGCGTAGCAGATCTATTCCGCCAAGACCAAACATTATCATATATGAACAATATTGTTTCAAAGCAGCTTTACAGAAAATGTAGCCTGGTTAAAACCAGACCATTCTCAGTTGTAACTGAGTTATGGTCTGGCAAAGCGTCATAGACAAATCATTTCCAGAGGGGCGTCACCAACGGACGTCGCGGATAGACCTAAACCCAATCAGAGCGATGAAGGAGATGACGTATGCAGAGCGGCGGAGAAACATCTCCGAGTGTTGTTCTTTACTCGGTTTTTAACAAAAAGGAAACTTAAAACAGACGCGATAGCTGATTGGAACGAGTGATGTTCGACGGCGGCATCCATCTTTGTAATGTAGGCTACAAAATCTGCTTCAAAATCCCAGCGCTGACGTCATCGTGTAAAGCCCGCCCCAACGTTTCTGATTGGTGCCTCGATTTCGGCGGATTTGAAATGAGCTTGAATGAGCTCTTTGCCAGACTAACTTTCAGAGCAAATCTAAATTTGCCAGAAGTTGTCTGGGTTTTCCCAGGCTACAGAAAATGCACATCTACATTTAGAGTGTTATCTGTTATCAGAGGTGACTGTGTCCAAGTTAATGTACATATACAAATCACACAGTCAGCTAATAATGTATTAATTTATACAATGTATTAATTTAAGGCGGAAATAATTAGCTATTTGAAGTAATGAATACGTTTGTTAACAAATTATTAGGATATATAGAAAATGTAGTATTGGCACATGTTGATTCAGAGCTTGCTTCATCTGAACTCGCAGGAGTTGGCGCTCTCTCTTCACAGGTTTTGGGGCAACTGAAGTAGATCATCCAGATCAAACTGTTTTTCTCCTTACCGATGTCCTCTATTTATCTTTCTCTCTCCTGTTGGAGTGGTACAATCATCATTTCACCTCACAGCTCCTGCGGCACACACCTCTGTCATGCAGCTGAGATTTAAATCAGGCAGCTCTGTCGGGCAGACCCGCCCTCATGAGGACCCGCAGATCACAGCTAGCCATGAGTCAGTCACAGATTGGATGGTGAAAGGGTTTGTGGCTATATATGAACGACAAAGCTGATTCCCTTCCTGGAGAACAAAACTGCCTAAAGTGGTTTGTGCTGGTTTTGATGGTCTCTCAACCTAGCCTAGCTGACAAGTGCCCAAAACCTTCTTAAAGTCACCATGAAATCAAAATGGACCATTCTTTTTTTTATGGAATATTGCAGTATTTATTAAATGATTTATCTTGTGCATCATTTTTTAATTAATGTGCCCTCGTAATCTTTTATCAAAATAACTTCCACTCACTCTTGCAGCGGCATCTCTTTTCTTCTCTGATGATGTGGCACGAGGGCGGGGCAACCTGTCACTCACATGAGATCCACCAATAGTAAACCACAACCACTCATTCAATTCCCCATGGACAAAATCAAGTCCCGCCCTACATTTTATTTTGTTCGAGAAGCCGTTTCACTCGGATATACGTCAAAATAGCGAAGAAAAAAAATCTATCTCATCTTCTTTTTTATGCTGACTTTAAAACCAGCAAAACAGAGCAGTTTTTCAGAAACTATAATGAGGTAACCACCTTAGGCTAATTTTTTAGGATGATCTAGTCTAGAAATCGGTTAGCTGACGTGGTAAGATGTTGGTATACAAAAGGTATGCAAAACTTGCAAAATTATGACTAGATTATGATCTCGCTGTCTTCTGCAATGAATGCTGTGTTTAAGATGTGTCTGTATGTAGAGTTAAAAACACATCTCTGCTGTGTTGCAGAGAATTTGTTTTGCTCACTGATTGCTGTCAACTTTGTTCATGTTTCCCATCAAATTTCTTAGTAAAAATAAAAATAGTCCCACAAGACATGTATTGGCATTCAGTAAGAATATAGAGCTATCAAATAGATGTGGATAGAAGCTCAAATCATTTTGTCTTGGAGAGATCTCTTAAAATTGATTGCTGGCATTAGTTTTTTGAAAGGTCTGAGCACAGTTTGAGATGTTTTTGTTTGTGACACCAGAATACTGGGGTATTTTTCTCTCCAGAAAAGCTTAATGCTTTTATACACTATCGTTCAGAAGTTTGTGGTCGGTAAGATTTATAATGTTTTTGAAAAAAAGTCACTTATGCTCATAAGCGGTTCTACAGGGTCATTGAGGCTCGGTGGACGTCACACAGGGATGTTTTTGTGGCAGGATTTGCAGTATTGATGCAGACTGTTTGTGTAAGGCACACTGGGACACTAACAGATGCTGATGTGGACAGCAGGGTGGTTTGATCAGGTCTGACGGGACAAAATCTCTCAGGATCTCTCCTTATGTTTTCAACACAATTAGATGCAGTTGTGCTCGAAGGGAAATGTCTTGAAAACACTTTAAATGTTTAATTAACGTATCAAAGAGAGCACAGCAAGAGGACAGAGCCTAGTGTGTGTGGGTGTGTGTGTGTGTGTGTGTGTGTGTGTGTGTGTTTCCGTGTTTTTTTCACTTGGGTCTTTGTTTCCATAGGAACAGGCTCCCTTTAATAACTCTCAGCAGGTCTACAATGAACTTTTCTCTCTTTTTTTTATGCCTCTCCTACTCTTTCATTGTTTATGTCTCAAGTCAGTTTGGAAGAATAGAGATTTTTACTACTAAAGAATTGCTACAGCTCTTGTAATATCACTTTATTTCGTTCAGATCATTTCAGTCTGGCTGCACGTCTCTTCTGACAGCAGGGAAAACAAAACTGAATGAAAATAATAAAATGCAACCATCTGTTCCAAGCTTTACATGATAAATATTATGCAAATATGAATGAATTTCAATGGTTCACAAAAGTAGAAGAAAAAAAAAATATATATATTATTCAGCAAGGATGCATAAATTAAATTGATGCATTAAATTGCACAAATTTTAATATTTAAAAAGGTGCTGTTCTTTTGAACTTTCTATTCATCAAAGAATCCTGGAAAAGTGTTATACGGTTTCCACAAAAATAAAAAAATTTGGTTTTCCAAAAAAAAAAATGAAACAGCAATGTGTGAAACTTTGCGAAACAAAATTGATGTCACTGCCAATACTTTTGTCCATGGCTGTAAGTATGTAGTTTGTATGTTAAAGGGTTAGTTCACCCAAAAATCAGTTCACCCTCATGTTGTTCCAAACCTGTAAGACTTTTGTTCATTTTGGAACACGAAGGAAGATATTTTTAATGAGATCTGAGAACTTTCTGTCCCTTCATTCTCGTGTTACGCAGCACGTTTGAGCTTCTGTAAGAACCAATGAGGTTCATTCTTGTGTTACGCAGCACGTTTGAGCTTCTGTAAGAACCAATGAGGTTCATTCTCGTGTTACGCAGCACGTTTGAGCTTCTGTAAGAACCAATGAGGTTCATTCTTGTTACGCAGCACGTTTGAGCTTCTGTAAGAACCAATGATGTTCATTCTCGTGTTACGCAGCACGTTTGAGCTTCTGTAAGAACCAATGAGGTTCATTCTCGTGTTACGCAGCACGTTTGAGCTTCTGTAAGAACCAATGAGGTTCATTCTTGTTACGCAGCACGTTTGAGCTTCTGTAAGAACCAATGATGTTCATTCTCGTGTTACGCAGCACGTTTGAGCTTCTGTAAGAACCAATGAGATTCATTCTCGTGTTACGCAGCACGTTTGAGCTTCTGTAAGAACCAATGAGATTCATTCTCGTGTTACGCAGCACGTTTGAGCTTCTGTAAGAACCAATGAGATTCATTCTCGTGTTACGCAGCACGTTTGAGCTTCTGTAAGAAGCAATGAGATTCATTCTCGTGTTACGCAGCACGTTTGAGCTTCTGTAAGAACCAATGAGGTTCATTCTCATGTTACGCAGCACGTTTGAGCTTCTGTAAGAACCAATGAGGTTCATTCTCATGTTACGCAGCACGTTTGAGCTTCTGTAAGAACCAATGAGGTTCATTCTCGTGTTACGCAGCCCATTTGAGCTTCTGTAAGAGGTTTGTTCTCATGCATTAAGCAGGTTTGGTTGAGCTTCTGTGTATGTTTGCTGATCAAAGTCTAAATTCATGTTGCTTCAGAAAATTTTTACTCAAATTTTAATTCATTTGGATTAGTTTTACGATCCCTTTATGAACTTTTTTATGTGTCAAAGTGGCAGTTGCATAGCCGCCAATAGAGGGAAAAATATCTTAATTTGTGTTCCGAAGATGGTCTTCCGATAGTCTTATGGGTTATGGAACAACATGAGGTTGAGTAATTTTCATTTTTGGAAGAATACAGTGCAAAAGGAACACTATCTTTATGTTCCTCCTAAACTGATGTGACTTTTTCACAGGCAAGCACCATTCTTATTATTTTCAGAGTATGTAATACAAAAACAAAAAAAGTTTTCTTTGTTAGAAAAGGTACAGTGAACACCGTACAGGTCTGATACTTGAATTATTTCTTCTCAGGTAGCCAAAGCATCTGCGCAGTAGAAATTAACAGCAAATTTAGATAAAAAATGTTGTAATGGAAGGTATGCATTAGTTTTCTTTTGTGTGTGTTTTCAGGTGTTCACGCGTTACGGGAAGTGTTACAGCTTTAACTCTGGTGACACCGGCCCACCGCAGATCAGCGTGAAGGGAGGGATGGGAAACGGCCTGGAGATCATGTTGGACATTCAGCAGGATGAATATTTACCTGTGTGGGGAGAGACAAGTGAGACCACATGATTAAAACACCGGGTACGCAATACTCTCATTCTCGCTCTCACTCTCGCTCATTTTCTCTCACAGATGAGTCGTCATTCGAGGCGGGAATCAAAGTTCAGATTCACAGTCAGGACGAGCCTCCGTTTATAGATCAGCTGGGCTTCGGAGTTGCTCCAGGATTCCAGACGTTCGTTTCCTGCCAAGAGCAGCGAGTAGGTGTGGCGTTAATATGCGCTTTAAATGGATCTCTCTTTTTTTTGACCCATGCTTTTTATTTTTCAGCTGATGTATCTTCCTGCTCCGTGGGGGAGCTGCAAGTCGTCCCCGCCAAGCTCGGATTACTTCAAGGCGTACAGCATCAGCGCCTGTCGAACTGACTGTGAGACGCGCTACCTGGTGGAAAACTGCAACTGCCGTATGGTGCATATGCCTGGTGAGTCACTGCACCAACTACAGCAGCTCTTGACATTCACTTGGCATGGGCAGTACAAAATCAGAAGTATTCTACTCTAATGCAGCAGTTACTATAATGACAGTTCAAAAGAGTCCATCAGGTTGATGAAATGGTGAACAGGATCATTTATTGTCTGTGTTGTGAAATGAAACGTCGCAATTGCTTTATCCATTGTCTATCAGTGTTGTTAGGGATATTGCATAAAGAAATGGATAGAACCGGCAAGATGTGCATAAAAAACGTATGCGCTCAATTGAGGTGGATAATTCTTTTATCCAATAAGAAGACTATGATGGAAACACATTTACCGAATAAATAACTCGATCCGCGACAAACAAAGTCATGTGAATGCATGTGAAATACATGTTAAAATGAGAATTGAAAATGTAATACTAACAACAAATACTAAAATAATACATAAATAACACTGTCTATCTTTTTTCCGTAAGTAATGAGCACTTGATAATACCAAGGTTGATTTTCAGTCTGTTTGTTGTGTTTATAATGGGACTGACACCACAGATCCTCATCTTCACGTTACAATTTACAAAGTCTTTAATGATTGTGCATACACTTGATTATAGTTACTATAATTGTTTAACCATCACATTTGTAACATACTAGCAGGTATTTTATTGGTACTTTTAGTATCTCCCTCTTAAAAAGTGAGTTCACAACTCAAGTTTCGTCCTTCGGATGAGACGTTAAACCGAGGCCCTGACTCTCTGTGGTCATTAAAAATCCCATGGCACTTCGTAAAGAGTAGGGGTGTAACCCCGGTGTCCTGGCCACATTCCACCCATTGGCCCCTGCCAATCATGGCCTCCTAATAATCCCCATCCACTGAATTGGCTCTACCACTCTTTCCTCTCCACATATAGCTGGTGTGTGGTGAGCGCACTGGCGCCGTTGTACTGTGGCTGCCGTCGCATCATCCAAGTGGATGCTGCACACTGGTGCTGGTTGAGGAGAGAACCCCTGATATGAAGTTAATCAGGCCAGTGAAACCAGATAAAACCTGCTCCTGTTCGACCGCCACTGGCACAGAAATGTAATTTAGTTGATTACAAAAGGCGAAATTGTCATGTATTAGTGTGGAATTTTAACCCGAGGGAATTTATATCTGCAGTAAGGACTCTGGCCATTGAATCTTCATTATGATGCACATGAACATTGTAAGAGAATTTAATAACTGTGAGTGCTTGAGGTTTTTAATATTAAAAAGGAATTAAGCAGGATTGTGTGTTAATATAGTTTTGACCATATCGTTTTACTTAATGTTACAGTGAAGCAAAATTTCAAAATGTATTTGATTTTTCATGTGCATTTATCAACCAGTGTTATTTTAGCATTATTTATTTAGCATTTTAGCATTATTTATTATTAATATTTTTAGTTAGCTCTTAATTTAATATTTTCATTTTTCGTTTTAATTTCAGTTTAAATTTGAGCAATTTTGCAATGTGCTTTTGTTATTTTTTATAACAATAAAGCAGCCATTGTCACCTTTTTGAGAAAAGTTGGAAATCACAAGAGCTCTGAACACCTGAGTTCACACAGAAATAATATCAATAAATCATCATTTAATCATCCTCATGTCCTTCCAAACCCATATGACACAAAGCACAATAAATACAACAAGTCTTCTGAAGCCTCACAACATCTTTGCGTTGGAAACATCAATTAGATGTTCCCAATCCCAATAATGATGCTTAGATATTTGCTGCCCCCGCAGGTGATGCGCCTTACTGCACCCCTGTGCTATATAAAGAATGTGCACATCCAGCACTTGGTGAGTAACTTTTAACATAATGCAATGTCACTTCATTAAAGTGTCCCTATTAAGCTTTTTTTCCCATGTAGTGTGTATTATTGCTGTAAAAGCTCTGCAAAATTTCAAAGATCAAACCCCCCCCCCCCCCCCAAAAAAAGATTCTAAACTGCCTGAAACGAGTCTTCAGTAATTCCAGTCTGACATCCTGCACAAACCTATGCATGTTTGTAACAAATGTGCATAATGCCAGTCTATGGTCTTCATTGGCTGCCCGTGATTGACGTCTACTTTGACCTTCAAGCATGAGACTGGTAGGGAGAGAAGAAGACGCTGTTTTCGATGCTGCGAAAGTAAATCCACTTTCAAAGGATGAGGACTCGGGCTCGGATTGATAAGGTCAAACTGACACCATTGTTAGGCCCCGATCACACCAAACGCATTTTTTGCAGTGAGAGGCGCCTTTTTTAAATTGTTTTCCTATGGCAGTGAGCGTTCTGCGCGCTGTTTTTGCGCACCCAGGTGCCCCGCGGTTTACCACCTGCTGCGCCTCGTGTTTTTGCAGTTGAAAAAAAAAGCAACTTAGGCCGTGTGTCCACCAAAGCGTTTTTCCACGCGCCTGGCGTATGTTTTCAATTGTTTTCAATGGGAGCGCCGCGTTTTTAGAACGCCATGAGTGCAACGAGGCGCTGAACGTTTTTTTTTCACGCTGAAGCGCTGAGTGCACGGCGTTTTTACAGGTCGCCGAGAGTTGAAGAATGTTCAACTTAGGGTAAAACGCAGCGCGCATCACTGTCACTTTTTACCCAGCCGTCCAATCACAGTGGAGGAGGGGCGGGACTAATACCACACCGAGCAACTGTCACAACATTCTTTCTGTACAACGACATCAACCAGCAGAGATAACCAAACAAAATGGATGAAAAATACATTTTTAGTATGAAACAAATTATCTGCGAAATCAGTTACAAATAAACTGTGCTGCGGATATTCTGTATCATAGCAATGAAACGTCTCAACGGAAAAAACGCAGCGCTGCCAAAACGCTCTCAAGCGCTCACAGCTAGGCGTCTTCAGCAGGCTAAAAATGCTTTGGTGGACACACGGACACACATCGCGGTTTTTTCCACTGTCCAATCAAATGAATGGAGAGGCGGGTCTTGTAGTGATGAAAGCTACAGTTGCTTTGAACGCCCAGAGAGTGCGATGATGGAGTAGAAACTTGTGGTGCTCTCGCGGGTTACCAGGAGCTTAACGACTTCACGAACCGTAACTACCACAATGTTAACAGAAAGTAAATAAAGTTAATAAAAGGCTGATTTGACGTTTACTTGACTGACAGGACAGCTGTTTCGGTGGTTGCCTAGCAACATAAAAAACGCAGCGCACTGCTCGTTCCATGTGAACGGAGCAGTGCTTTGCACCTCGCGTTTTCGAACGTGAAACGTTTTTGGTGTGATCGGGGCCTTACTGTTCGTATCACTGTGTACAAGTGCTGAGGAAGCCTCCAAAGCTGAAATTTGGTCGAGCAATGACAAGAGACTGGGCCATCTGACCAATCAGAGCAGAGGAAGCTCTAGGAAAGGAGTTTAGAAAGACTGAATCCTTGATCGAACCATTTCAGACACTGTGAGAAATGAGCTGATGTTGCAATGTATATTATTAGAAAATAATAAATAAAAATTTACCCTAAATGCATGTAAACCTACTGTAGGAATCCTCCAAAACAAAATGAGCAACCTTTAAAATAGCATTAAAAATCTTGTTTTCAATGCCATGCTATTATTTATCTTGTTGCGGTTGCAAAGATTTCCTTGTGGAGACGGACAGCGACTACTGCTCATGCGAGACTCCGTGCAACATCACACGCTACAGTAAAGAGCTGTCCTTCGTCAAGATCCCCAGCAAAGCGTCTGTCAAATACCTCGCAAAGAAGTACAGCAAATCTGAGAAGTACATAACGTGAGTGTTCAGTTAACATCGATCGCTTTGTTACCTCGGCACAGTAGTGTCTGTTCTCCATCACAGCGACGGGTGTTTGAACATTTCTTAATTGATGAACTGTGTAGATGCCAGTGTTTTGTTTTTTGTTTTTCAGAATGATAGAGAGTTATGTCACTTTAGCACATTCATTTATAATCTGCCATGCTGGAATGCCAAACACATGCTAAACTGTGTTGTGTGTGCCGTCAGTGAGAATGTCCTGGTGCTGGACGTGTTCTTTGAGGCTCTGAACTATGAAACCATCGAGCAGAGGAAAGCCTATGAGGTGGCTGGTCTGTTGGGTAAGTCACATGTTACTTAGTTATTATTAGTAGTGTCTGCTAACTAGTCCTGCATCCTTTGTACTATCTCAAGTCTTGCGGCTTCTTGACGAGAGATATGGTGTTACTTTTCTATGGGATCAGATTTACATTTTTCACCTTAAAGCAACACTAAGTAAGATTTTTTACAATTTTTTTAAATCGTTTCAGTGGTTCATTAAGTCGTAACAGGGTGAAAGGCACTTCTGGATTCGCTTTGCGGTCCTATATCTGCTATAACCACGCTATGTAAGATTGCCAGATCGGGTCGCGTTTCTGTAGCTCTAATGAGACATAAGAAAACTACAAATTTGACTTGCTTTACGTCAAGCGTTACAAAAGTCATTATTTTGTTTTTCTTCGTTTCTGATGTCGCAATACATCATACTTTCATGAAATCATGCAACATACTCTACCTTGTCTGTGGACATCGTTCATTCCAAAGCCGGTGCTGGATAAACAACGAGCGTGCGTGCGACAGTAGGCGAAATTATTTACGACAGCGGTAATGGACAATTCCGCTTCCAACCTGCAGGGCGACCGCTGAGGAAAAGTTACTTGGTGTTGCATTAAAACTGGCAAAAAAGACTTCAGATTAAGATTTATTTATGTTTTTGAAAGAAGTCTCACCAAGGCTGCATTTATTTGATTAAAAATATACAGTAAAAATTGTCATATTGTGGAATATTCATTATAAAGAACTGATTTCTATCACTTCCGCTCAGTCTCTGTGTGTTTTTGTGTTGGTAGGTGATATCGGAGGACAGATGGGGCTTTTCATTGGAGCCAGTATTCTTACGATTCTGGAGCTTTTTGACTATCTTTATGAGGTAAGGTTTATGAAGTATCTGTATAAATGCTCTGTCCTCTCATAAAGATTTCTGCTGGGTTTTGGTTTTATTTGTCTAATGACATTTTTACAGTTTATTATATTTGAACCCAAAACAAATCTGCTCATGTTCATCATGTTAATCAAGTTATTTACTAAAAATCTCTTGACACAAAATGGCAAGCTTAAAACACACTACACTACTGTTCAAAAGCTTGGGGTCATTAAGAGTTTTCTTTTAAATAAATGAATACTTTTATTCAGCTTTTATTATCAAAAGTGACAGTAAAGACATTTATAATGTAAAGAAATAAAAAAAGCATATTTTGTTACCTTTTAGACCTTCGCATTTTTGTTGTTTACACCGAGACAATAATGATATCGGTTTCAAAAACATGCACTTTAAAAACCAGTTTTCAAAAGTTTGCGTTTTCAGGCCCTCAAAACACCGTTTTTGTGTAAATGAACAGCCAAAACGGTGTTGTGTAAACATCCCTAATATTGAATCGCATACAGTACCGGTACTTGCTCTGCAGTAAATCGCTGAGCCATTTCAAGTTTTGCTAAACCTTGAGGATTAAAGGTGAATTGCACTTATTGAGTCGTCAGAGATTCGAGAATTATTGTTGTGGCGAAAAAATATACTTACACTTTAAAATACGTACCCAAAAATGAAAATGATGTCATTAATGACTCACCCTCATGTCGTTCCAAGCCCGTAAGACCTCCGTTCATCTTCAGAACACAGTTTAAGATATTTTAGATTTAGTCCGAGAGCTTTCTGTCCCTCCATTGAAAATGTATGTACGGTATACTGTCCTTGTCCAGAAAGGAAATAAAGACATCATCAAAGTAGTCCATGTGACATCAGTGGGTTAGTTAGAGTGTTTTGAAGCGTCGAAAATACATTTTGGTCCAAAAATAACAAAAACTACGACTTTATTCAGCATTGTATTGTCTTCCGGTTCTGTTGTGGATCCGCGTTCAGTGCCGCCGCTGACGTAAGACGCTGCTGACGTGTGTCTGGTGCGCCCGTGTATTCGGGTTCAAATAAATATGGCTGGGCAAAAAAATGCAAGTCTTCCTCTGTGTGGAAATCCTTAGACATGTTTGTGAAGATTGTTTTGTTTCCAGCGTGCGTCTCCCTCAGAGTGTAAACGAAGCTTGGACGCACCAGACACACACACACACACACACCAGACACACGTCAGCAGCGTCTTACGTCAGCAGCGGCACTGAACGCGGATCCACAACAGAACCGGAATACACACACACACACACACCAGACACACGTCAGCAGCGTCTTACGTCAGCAGCGGCACTGAACGCGGATCCACAACAGAACCGGAATACACACACACACACACACCAGACACACGTCAGCAGCGTCTTACGTCAGCGGCGCCACTGAACCCGGATCCACAACAGAACCGGAATACACACACACACACACACCAGACACACGTCAGCAGCGTCTTACGTCAGCAGCGGCACTGAACGCGGATCCACAACAGAACCGGAATACACACACACACACACACCAGACACACGTCAGCAGCGTCTTACGTCAGCGGCGCCACTGAACCCGGATCCACAACAGAACCAGAATACACACACACACACACACCAGACACACGTCAGCAGCGTCTTACGTCAGCAGCGGCACTGAACGCGGATCCACAACAGAACCGGAATACACACACACACACACACCAGACACACGTCAGCAGCGTCTTACGTCAGCAGCGGCACTGAACGCGGATCCACAACAGAACCGGAATACACACACACACACACACCAGACACACGTCAGCAGCGTCTTACGTCAGCAGCGGCACTGAACGCGGATTCACAACAGAACCGGAAGAGAATACAATGCTGAATAAAGTCGTAGTTTTTGTTATTTTTGGACCAAAATGTATTTTCGACGCTTCAAAACATTCTAACTAACCCACTGATGTCACATGGACTACTTTGATGATGTCTTTATTTCCTTTCTGGACAAGGACAGTATACCGTACATACATTTTCAATGGAGGGACAGAAAGCTCTCGGACTAAATCTAAAATATCTTAAACTGTGTTCTGAAGATGAACGGAGGTCTTACGGGCTTGGAACGACATGAGGGAGAGTCATTAATGACATCATTTTCATTTTTGGGTGAACTAACTCTTTAAGGGTTAAGGACAACACCTCAACATCTTTTTAACTTTTTGTCTGCCAAGGTAATGAAATACAGGTTGTGCCGCTGCTCCGACAAGAAACATCACAACAACAACAACACTGATCACGGCACTGTACTCAGCCTGGATGACGTCAAATGCCATGTCAGTAAATTCCATTAACATTCCCGCAATATTCCAGCTGTTTGCCTGCCAGTCATATTGCGATTATGTTATACATTTTAGCAGATGGCATCGCGACACCAGCACGGTTGTTTTCTACAGATTGTTCTGGCATCTTGTGGTTGTTACTCTCTCTTTCTCTCTTATGCCTATGAATGAAAATTTTCTAGTATTTTTCCAAAAATGTTTTGTGGTTTTCTGAACAAGCCGATTTTGATTTTGTCTCTATAAGGCAGGAATGTCAAAACCGTTAAATATGATTTAAATGGTTGGATCTTTGTGTGCCTGGCCTTTTGCAACAGAAATGCGTCTAGCTTGAGGGGTTACTGTGTCATATTTGATTAATTCTGTGTATCTTAATAGCTATGGCTGTAAATGCATTGTGACAGACTATTCATTGCACAAGGTGTTGAAAGAGGGAGCACCAGTTTGAAGGCCTGTAGTTGCTACTTGCTATGATATGAGCATGATATCATCGGCCCATGTCAGATCAGAGAGACTAACCCTAGATATTCCCAGGGGGTGCATGTGAGCTTCTGTCTGCAGTGTCACGTTTGTTTCGGGAGCTGGACTGTGTGTGCATGTCTGTAAATGCGTCTGTTAACGTTGTGTGTCATTGCTCTCTGTGTGTGTGTGTGTGTGTGTGTGTTTGTGCAAGCTTGACTGCAAGTGCATGGATGTGTTTGTTTGTTTGTTAGGTTCACACAGAACGAGTTTTTGCTGTTAAAAACGCAAGACCCAGGTCAGTGGAACGAAAAAAAGGGCAAGGTCTAGTGATGTGTTTTTTAGAGACTCTACAGACGCAAGCGCAACGGTTAAAGACGTCAGTCTAGCACGAGTTTACATTAAAAAACAATGTAAAAGTAGCGCAGTGGAATGGGAAAACGTGTTCTGTGTGAACGGCTGTCTTTCTGCATGTATATATTACATGTGATTATTTCTAGAATGGATGAGGAAAAGTTGGAGCAACAGGGTGTCAGGAATTTTTAAAAAGGAAATCAAGTATTTTTAAGTCTCTGACGCATTTAGATATGTCAAATGTGAGCAGACAGAATGTAGTGATTTGTTGTGGAATATGGTAGTTTATGGCTATTTTTTCATGTCAGGTTTACATTTGAGACACTATATTAATCTCATATACAGCAGACATCTGTCTGGTGTCTTTTCAGAAAAACCACACCATCCATTTTCAGTATTTTCTTTGAAAAGGTGGATTGTCAAAGATCAACAGTGTTAATATGTAAATCAGACTTTTTCCAGCTGATTCATTTCTGTATTATTTTGATGTTTATCATGTGGCTGTAATAAAATGTTTGTTTTTTATGAATAAACATGCATAAAATGATGCCCTGTGTATTGTGTGTGGGTGTGTGTGTGGGGGTGTCAAACCCTACATTATGGGGACAAAATCCTCACAAAGATGGCAATATCCTAAATTATTTTCCTTCTAGGAACATTTTTAGTCCCCCCGACTCGAGGACAGCAGCTTATAAATCATACTAAGTGATGTTTTTTGAAAATCTAAAAATGCAGAAAGTTTTCTGTGATGGATAGGTTTAGGAGTAGGGTTAGTGGAAGGGTTGAGAATATACAGTTTGTACAGTATAAAAGTCATTATGTCTATGGAAAGTCCCCATAAAACATGAAAACACAACAACTGTGTGTGTGTGTGTGTGTGTGTGTGTGTGTGTGTGTGTGTGTGTGTGTGTGTGTGTGTGTGTGTGTGTGTGTGTGTGTGTGTGTGTGTGTGTGTGTGTGTGTGTGTGTGTGTGCGTGCACGCGTGCAATAGAATGTGAAAAGTTGTGAAATAAGTACTGAAAAAAAGAAAATATAGATAATAGAAAATTAGAAATGTTGCTTTGACAACTAACTAAAAGTAGCCTATTTCAGTTTTAAAATGACTAAAACTAATACTGAAATATAGAAATATTAACTACTTTTAAAAATAACATACAATTACCAAACCTTTAAAATTAAACTGAATATATATATATATATATATATATATATATATATATTATAATATCATGTAAATAAAACTAAAATAACACAAAAGTTTTAACTCCATTTCTGAAATCCATAAGCTCACTGTGAATTGAGGAATTCCTCCCCTGAGCCGCATCATTTCTTCCATGAACTTTGACCTTTCATCCCTGAGAGCTGTTCTGGTATTCCATATTCCCTAACAGGGGATTCTATTGTTCAAAGGTCATTTTGCCATCTTAAGACACTCAGATCCTTTGTTAAAGTCCCATTCTTATATCTTTTTATCTCCATGTGTGATTGGATCTCACATTTCACCCCAATCAAAAGATAAAGAAAAAACATAGGCTATTTTTAAGACCATTACAATATAACACAATTCCCGTTATGACAGGCTTTGGATGTCTACTTTTTACTTCTCATCTCATTATTTAACTTATTGATTGCTCATATTAAAAAAAGATTACAAGCTTTACAGCTAGTCCTTAAGCTAGTAGACAAATCCACTGTACAAACACTGTATTTTTTGCTGAGTGTCAAGTTACAGCTTGGCTTTGAGTTTGTCCCTATGCCAACTGAGACTATCGTTTGTGTAAGTGCATAACTTTGAATCACTTGTTTTGAGATTCCGTAAACACACCCACCTGATAGTGGGCGGAGTCGACAGAGCTGTTTTCGCCCTCTGAGTGGCCAATAGTACAAGGGGGCGTGGCCTATACGGACAACACTCAAGTGTGCGCTCGCTGCTCTGCGGTTTGATTGACAGGTCTGAGTGACTAACTCAGCGAAGGAGCCGGTGAAGATTCTCAGCGCAATGTCAAGTCCTAAAAGAGTTTGCATCGTCGGCTCTGGGAACTGGTAAACAAAATTTCGGATTTTTTTTTTTAGAAATGACTGTTTGAGCTGTAGGGGACATTTGACAGCACATGACTATTAGTTTAAACATTAAACAAAGGCACACAAGCCGTTCTTTGAATCACATGTTTATGAACAAGTTTAAGGTTATGACATTTGAAAGGGCATAACAGAAGACATGTTAATATGAAGGTTATAGGTATATACAATGTTGTTTTTGTTACTCAATATGAGATCCACTTAAGAAGTTCTGCTCAACAGCTTTGAATGTGCTTTTGGACTAACTTGAATACTATTTATCACTGTTTGCATGAGCCATTTGTAACACTGCTGCAATGCAAAACAAGTAGAACATATGTTCCAGTCAGTCACACTGGTTAGGTTCAGTTTTTATGTTCCATAAGTTTCAACTATCTGTCCTACAGCTGTCTGGCCACATCTGTGGTTCAATAATGTCCATAATGTTTGAAATGTACTGACGGCTGCAGAGTATTAGGCTATGGCTATATCATACAATGCATGCAAAGAATATTGTTTTGTTATTGAATTGTTTCCCTTGACCTTTTGGGTTATAATAATTTACACATTCACATAGACATATTTATTAAACGTGTCTGCTGTTGATGACTGAGGTATTTATGAGCTTGAATATTTGAAATGGGCTACTGTTCCTTTAAAACCACCCTATTTATGGTCACACTAAACAAGACTCCAAAAGTTCTTTATATAACAACAACCCAAATTTATGTTTATGTATTCAGTTAAGAGCCATATTAAATTTCTCAAACAATACTGCAAAATTGATATGGTTGTGTATTTTGTAAATAGGCATAAAGTGCCCAACCAGCAGACTAGTTAACTAGTTACCCACTGTAAACTGAACTGACCCTCTGATCTGACACAACAGGCTTTGATAACTCTCCTGGAATGCAAAATCTCCATTTTGGTCAAAAAAAAAAAGAAAAATATCAGGGGTTGTGATGGGAGTAAAGTCCTTTGTTCATTTCCTCCCGCAACCTTTCACATGATGAACTCTCACCCTCTCTCTCTTTCTGTAATACACAGGGGTTCTGCTATTGCTAAGATAGTTGGCAGAAATGCCAGGAACAATTCGAAGTTTCACTCCACGGTTAACATGTGGGTGTTTGAAGAGATGGTGGAAGGGCGTAAGCTCACAGAGATCATAAACACAGACCACGAGAACGTCAAGTATTTGCCTGGACACAAGCTTCCAGAAAATGTTGTAAGAAACGTATTGTTTTATTTTAATCATATAATGTATTAAATATAAATATTATTAATAAAGTTTGTGAAATAATATATAATAAAATAATTGCAAATGATAATATATTTTGTTATAAATTAAATAAAATATTTGTTGCATACTTGTACAATAAAATAATAAATAAATGGTTTAAGAAACTCTGTAAATAAATTAAAGTGTGAAATCCTTATTCATATTTTCAATGTAACAGAAGCAATTATGGTTACTTTTTATTTGTGTATTTAAATTTGTATAATATTTGCGTATATACACCAAAATATATAGAATGTATACCATTAATGTATCATATATAAATTATTATGTATTATATTATTTTAGTATTATAATATAATAGAAAATATTGTATTACAAGAATAAAAATAGTTGCTTGTTTGAATTGCATATATATATATATATATATATATATATATATATATATAAATCAAGAGAAAATTGTATTACAAGAATAAAAATAGTTGCTTGTTTTAATTGCATATATATATATAAATACATTTAAAAAATATATATATATACATATTCACACAAACTTTTATGTTAGGTGTGATTAATCACTATTAATCAATTTAACAGCACTAATATATACTGTATAAAATGTGTATATATATATACACTTGTTTAATTGCATATAGTAATTAATTATAGTATAGCATATAGTATTTTAAATTTATTGTGTGTATATATATATATATATATATATATATTAGGGCTGTCAAATGATTAATCGTGGTAACACATCTAAAATAAAAGTTTTTTTTACATAATATATGTGGGTGCACTGTGTATAATTATTTTATATATATAAATACACACACATGCTTGTATATATTTAAGAAATATTTTCATGTATATACTGTATAGATTTATATATAATTTATATTATATATAAATATAAATATTTTATATATAAATAATATTTTTTTCTTAAATATACATGCATGTGTGTGTATTTATATATATACAAAATAATTATACACAGTGCACCCACATATATTATGTAAAAAAAACTTTTATTTTGGATGTGATTAATCGTGATTAATCATTTGACAGCCCTAATATATATATATATATATATATATATATATATATATATATATATATATTGATTATATAATAAAAAAATAGATGATAAAAATACATATTCAGCTACAAGATTTAATCACACAGATCAGTTAACTTTTTTGCTTGGGAAATTGTTTCAACAGCAAATAGTTGAGGAAGTTAACACAATCCAGAAGTCTGGAGAAGAGTGCTGAGCCACTAGATTCTTTCCCCAAAACCTTTGCGAGGCACGTGCTGCTTTGCAAAAGAAACCATCCATTTTACTCAAGCAACTAATAAGAAGCTGACAAAGCTGCATGTGGTTTCTCCGTCATTATGACCTGTAGACCGAATGTTTGAGAGTCAGCCAAATGGTTCAGCTTATAACTAGGTTCAGGAATGACTATCTCTGGACTGGGCTAGAGGCCTAGAAAACCATTGGCAGAGACTTGATACAAGGATTTATAATGTGAACAAGGTGGTTTTGGCTTGACATGGACATGTCAAAATAACAACACAAATAAGCCAGTATATAGGTCACAAAAATAAAATATGAAACAGGGCACCTTAGGTGTAGCCAATCATATAGTGAATATGTTGAGTATGCATGTTTCTGCGGATTTCATCATTACGTATCAAACTGATTCTTTTCCCTTCTCTCTATTCCACTCTCGTTCTCCTGCTCACAGGTTGCCGTGCCAGATCTGCTCGACGCTGCCAAGAGTGCTGACATCCTGATCTTTGTGATTCCACATCAGTTCATCGGTCGTGTTTGTGACACCATAAAGGGCAAAATCAAACAGGACGCGCTTGGAATGTCCCTCATCAAGGTCCCGTACACTCATGAATATATGCATTGTGTGCGAAAGCCATTTTCTCTCTTACTCAGCAGCAGAAAAAAAAGAGGACAGTTGCTTTTAAAGATCACAAGACTGTCACATTTGAAACCGGTAGCAAAGCATGACTGTCCTTGTGGTTCATTTAGGGGGTGGATGAAGGGCCGGATGGACTGAAGCTCATCTCAGAGGTCATTCACGAGAAGCTGGGCATCAAGATGAGCGTGTTGATGGGAGCGAATATCGCCAACGAGGTGGCGGATGAGAAATTCTGCGAGACCACCATTGGTGAGGCTGATAAAAAGCAATGTGAATGTTAGATTGGTCACTTTGTGTTTGGGTGAGTATATGCTTTTGTGTGTTTAATATTTGTCAGGCTGCAGGGATAAAACTGAGGGAGCGTTGCTTAAAGAACTCATGCAGACGGATCACTTCCGGGTCACGGTCGTACAGGAAGCAGATGTGGTGGAGATCTGTGGTGCACTGAAGGTTTGATTATTCACACTTCGACATTTTACACCTCAAAATAGGACAGTGCATATGTGATACAGTTAGTGATATCCAGTGTGTTTAACAGTTAAAACTATTTTTTAGGTTGACATTGACATTGCATGCAGATCAAGAAATTGTTTTATCAACAGCAGTAATAATACTGGTCTGTCTTGATATGACAAGTGTGAGTTGTCAGTTTTACAGTCTATTAACGTTCTCTTTTGCTGTTGAGAGATTTTTTGAAGCATGATGTATCAACACAAAACAATCAAACCAGTAGAACTATATACATTGATAAGAATTTGGACAGTTGCACCACTAACCTAGAGAAGTGTTGTTATTGCTAACTGAAACTTAAACAAATGTAGGCAACTAAATGAAAGAAATAACTTGAAGTACTAAAATTTATATTTAAAAAAATAAATAATAAATTTGCACAAAAGCACATAACAGAATTAATAAAACCTAAACTAAAATTTAAATGAAAATATAACAATAAAAGCTACTTCAAATACTATAGACATAATACTAAAATAACAATAATAAATGTATTGTTGGCAAATGTCTTTGCCTGAAAAGTGTGCTTTGTGCTGTCTTTCTTTAAAATAAACACTAGTTGGTTTGATATTGTAGCAAATGGAATGACTTTCAGACCAGTGTTTTTTTTTTTACTATCATTAATATATTTGCAAATATTATGAACTAGCTTTTATTTGTATATTTTCTATTTTCACTTTAATTTTTGTTAATTTTACATTTGTATTAAATAAATGTATATATAGTATTTATTAGTTTTTACTTTTAATTTGAGTTATTTTAGAAAATGAGAAATGTTGCCAACTAGCTGGAAATTTATATATATATGTGTGTGTGTGTGTGTTGCCTTCATTTATATTTTGTATTTAAAGGCTATATTTTTCCTTTTACAGAATAGAATCACTGTATATATTGCTTTATAAATACATTTACATTTATGCATTTGGCAGATGCTTTTATCCAATGCAACTTACATTGCATTCAAGATACACATCTTTATCAGTTCATGTATTCCTTGTGAATCAAACCCATGACCTTGGCTCCACGGTTTGAGCTATAGGAGAAAACACTTTGCTTCTGAAATTGGTTTGGTTGCAGAGTCAGATGAAAGTCTTAAAGGTATAGTTCAGCCCAAAATGAAAATACTGTCTTCATTTATCCTCATGTCATTGCAAACCAAATGGCAGAATTTTCATTTTTTGGTGAACTATCCCTTTAAGACTTTCATCTGACTGCAACATAACAAACTTCACAGTGCACAGCAAGAACACAAACACCATAAATATAGTGTCAGGGGATCTTAGCATTTCCAAACAACACGTTTCTTGTAGCAATCTAGCTCAGAACATGTCAGACATTTAGACCCTCTTTGTCTTCCTACAGAATATAGTGGCAGTAGGAGCAGGTTTCTGTGACGGCTTGGGCTTCGGTGACAACACAAAGGCTGCGGTGATCAGACTGGGTCTCATGGAGATGATCAGCTTTGCTCGGTTGTTCTGCACCGCCGGCTCGGTCTCTTCTGCAACTTTCTTGGAGAGCTGTGGCGTTGCTGATCTCATTACCACATGTTACGGAGGACGAAATCGGAAAGTCTCAGAGGCCTTCGCCAAGACTGGCAAGGTGAGACACCAAGAACTTAAAGGGATAGTTCCCCGATAATGTGCTCACCCTCGTGCCATTTCAAACCTGTATGACTTTCTTCTGTGGAACACAACAAAAGAAATGCTTTTTCTTGACAGAAATGGAGCTGTCAAGCTTCAAAAAGACAAAAAAAGTAGTCCATTTAACTCGTGCACTTCATTTTAATTCTTTTAACTTCATACAACTGATTTGTGAGGAACCACACAATGTTAGTATTTTTACACTGTAAATCTTTCCCACTGCAGCTGTCAAATCTAATACATTTATATGTGGCATGTCACAATAACTAGACCCAGAATGCAATCTGCTGCTGACCCTTTTATTTTTATTATTTTTTTGTGTTTTTTTTTTTTTTTTATGGATTTAAAGGTGCTATATGTATTTTTTAGCGGCCTCTATCTGTGATGTTTCAGATTGCAACCAATTTTTACAAGAGCGCTCGTGCTCGAGTGCGCTTGTAAAAATGCGCGTGCTTGAACACAAGAGTGAACTCTCATGGTACCGGCCAGACTGAGACTTTCAACACACCGGAGAAAGCATCACACAACATGCTGGAAACTCATGTAAACTCCCACTGCAACCTTACAATAATAGGCTACTTTTATCAGCTTGACGTTGAACTAATGCTCCATGCTCGTACCATGATAACGTTACATTGACTGCATTTAGCCGACATGTGGTGTTATCTAGCACAACGCATTTCACTAACTATTCGTGTATCTTTCACAATCAGCAATGTCAACAGATGAATTTATAATATGATAACGAAAACGGTTAGTGAACTAGACTGAACAATGTCAGTGTAACAGTAAGATCGTAGGAAGTAACATTACTGTACTGAACGTGTCTGGAAATGTGTATAAACAATATGATAGTAGTGGGATGAGTGACGTTAGACAGTAGATCTAGTAGCCTACATAAAATAAAAGTTACATCCTAAAGCACCTACTTTTTGTTATCCTGGAACAGTCGTTTGTATTAATTTCATGTCTCATATAGCCTACAGTATGTTGTAGTTTACCTTGCTATTTCATAACAGTTTACCATTATTTCAGCATATCTAAAAACTTGTAATTTATCACAATAAAAATAGCGGAGGTCTCTCCATAATTCAAATGCTCTGCCGATGTTGATCCGTGTTTTCGTCCTAAGTCGATCCGATTCACGTTTGGCCTGACGAGCTTCAGCAGATACACTTTTGTTTTGTTTTTTATATTTATGTGGAGTTTGTGTTGGAGTGTGTGTTGTGCTGGAGGCAGGTCGGTCGTTGTTTGGTGTTATTAGACTCCATGTCGTCAGCTGAAGTGCGGTCGCATAGACTGTGTATAAAAAGGAGAGAGGCTCGGGAGCGCGCGTGCACGTCACATCCGATGGATTTCGCAGAAAATCTGACCCCGAGACTTCACATAGAAATAGGAATACTGGCCTTCAGAGGTAATAGCAAAACCAGACAAGTGGATCATTGTAATGTGTGATTACAACCCCTTCACACACAGGCAATAAAAAAATGAAAAAAAATTTAGCACCTTTTAATATACAATGAATTTCAAAAGTTTAGATTTTTTTATGTATTTGAAAGAAGTCTCTAAGTAAAAAAGTAAATAGTGTAATAGTGTGAAATGTGATTAATCATGGATTATCAATCCAGGTCAAGATAGTTAATATGAGACAGAAACAAAATGATTTAAATTCCATTTTCAATTTAGCATAACAAAAAACGAAATATTTGTAGTTTTGCGTACAATGAGAATAGTGCAAAACAGGTGATTTAAAGTAGCAGTAATATTAGTGGAAATACAAATAGAGTAAACAAATCTTTGGCAGCATTTGTAGTCATTAGATTCTCTGTTTCAGTCTCTCGAAGAGCTTGAGAAGGAAATGTTGAATGGTCAGAAGCTGCAGGGTCCAGCCACAGCCGCTGAAGTCCACACCATACTTAAAAACAAAGGCGTACTCGACAAGTAAGTTTCAATTTCATTGACCAAACACAATAAAGTTAGTTCAACACATCTGAAAGTTTTTTTCTTCCCACAGATTTCCCCTTTTTAATGCAGTGTACGAGATCTGTTACGAGAGTCGGCCTGTTACTGAGTTCATCCTCTGCTTGCAGAACCATCCAGAACATCAGTGAAAGAAGGACAGAGCTGCAATACTGTGTGTGTGTGTGTGTGTGTGTGTGTGTGTGTGTGTGTGTGGTGTGTTTGTGAGCCCTGCTGAAAAGAATAGCATTGCTGTTGTGTTTTAAATACTTTAACCAGCAAGACATTGAAGCTATCTTGCTGGTTAAAGTATTTAAAACACAACCTCGTCAAACAGAAGCAGCATGCAAATCCATGGTTACAGCAGGGTGTGTGAGTGTGTGTTACAATGAGATCGAGGGTCGCATGAGGACGCTCTCTGAGTGCACAATCAGGTTTTGTCATTTCTAATGAGTCCATCCTTTCAGTCACTATTCTGTATAAAAGCCTCAAATGCCAGACTGAGCTCTCTTTTATAAGTGCAGCTAAAACTGTGTGAAATAGTTCTCAAAATCACACTGAATTGAATGTTCTCTATATGTAATGTGAAATAAATCACTCTCTGTGAGTTCCAGCTGTCCATTTCTTTAATAAGACCATCATGGTAACACTTTACAATAAGGTTCCATTAGTTAACATTAGTTAATGCATTAGTTAACATGAGCTAACCATGAACAATGCCTGTAAATAGCTTTACTGTTTTGTAAGGTTAACTTACTGTACATATTTACATTAGTTTACGTAGCAGTTGACACACACTAAGTATGAACATTTCTAACTCACCATGTTACCCTAAATGTAAAAATACTGTTGTGTACCTTATCAACACTCGTTTATATATATATAAGGCATTGATCTGTTGGTAAACATAATTCTACAGCGGAAAACAAATGTTAACACATCAGTTAATGTTGAAATAGTGTACACTTTACAATAAGGTTTATAAATTCCATTAATAAATACTTTATTTATGGTAAGTCATGTCAATAAAGAGTCTACAAATGTTAGTAACACATCAGTTAATGTTAAATAGTGTACACTTTACAATAAGGTTTATAAATTCCATTAATAAATGCTTTATTAATGGTAATTAATGTTAATAAAGAGTCTACAAATGTTAGTAACACATCAGTTAATGTTGAAATAGTGTACACTTTTCACTCAATCCATTAATAAATACTTTTTTGAATGCAAGTAATGATAGTAAAGTGCTTATAAACATGAACAACATATTTTTACGCTGTAGAATTATGTTTACCAACAAATCAATACCTTATAAAAGAGTGTTGATAAGGTACACAACAGTATTTTTACATTTAGGGTAACATGGTGAGTTAGAAATGTTCATACTTAGTGTGTGTCAACTGCTACATAAACTAATGTAAATATGTTCAGTAAGTTAACCTTTTAAAACAGTAAAGTTATTTACAGGCATTGTTCATGGTTAGTTCATGTTAACTAATGCATTAACTAATGTTAACTATGGAACCTTATTGTAAAGTGTTACCACAATCATTTTGCGAATAAATAGCATTTTGAGGGTTGTCCGGTATGTGTAAGAACCAGGCATAATATACAGTGGCCCAAAAAGTATCACAATTAAAAATGAACGAAGATATATAGTAATTCATCAAATTTACAACGGCATGTTTCACAACCAGAAAGAATTCACTTTTTTTGCACCGTATCTATTGTTTTATTATTATGAAACCTGACAAGCTTCTTTTTGTGATCTGTTTTTGCTTGTAAAGTGTGTTTGTGATATATTCCATTACTTCAAATAAAATACTTTATAATATTTTGTTACAAATGCAACAACATTCATACTTTTTGGGGCAACTGTATAAAACTGTAAAACAGCTAGGGATGCACCGATATGAAAACATTGGCTGATACCAATAACTAATAATTCTTCATATTTTAAAAAAGCCGATAACCTATATATTGGTCGATAAATATAAATTATAAAAATTGTATATAATATTTGAGAGCCTTATTACAAAAACAAAAGTCTCATCATTAAAAACCATGTCCCAAGCACACCATTCTAATGTTTTCAATTTTATGTAGCCTACATGACAGACATATTTCAAGGAATTCAAACCCATTATGGCAAACAGTGCGCATCTGCTAAAGGAAATAATCCATTATTTATCGCCTTGGATATATCCACCAAATTTTCTTATCAGACCGATAACTAGAACATTAAAAATGAATATTTATCGGCCGATACCGATATGGTGACACAGCCACTAGAGGGAGTAACTGTCTCTTGCTGCTAAGCAACAGATGAAATAGAATATGCATTACTAAAAGCTTTTTTACACGTTAAGCATGCATTTCATTTTAAAAGCCAAGATATGCAGGTGTATATTGCACCTGAGATCCTTCTAGTAAACGATATTTGGGCACGTCTCCATCAAGTCAAAAACATCCTCACTGAAGTCATTATACTGCAGACTGGAAGAAAATATGAGAAAAATAATACATTACTTATCACATACTGTATCATATTGAAGTAGGTAAGTATTCAAATGCAATCATACAACATTTTTTCCTGGCCAAAATATAAGCAGAATATATGCTAAAGATGCCAATTTAAAATATATTTCATTTAAACCATTTAATTACAAAATATATATAAAAAAATGTACTGCACGGGGCAAGAAAATGCATTTACTGTATTAAAATACATTTTGGGGTAATACAAAATGTATCTTTTAATATGTATTTTGGACAGTATAATTATGTTTGCATTGAAAATAAAAAAATGGTCAAAAACAATGAAATAGCAAACACACTAAAAGTGAACTTATTTAAAATGTCTATATTTTTATTTGCAATGTATTTTTGGCAATTTTAGTGTATTTAAAAAAAAATATAACTTTTTAAAAATATATTTAAATTTTTTTTTTCTGTATGGGCATGAACATTACATGTATAGCCTGAACTTACTTTAGCTTGGTCATTTGAGGACGGGCCAGCATTAATTTGACCAATTGTGGCACAGCGGAGTCCGTCATTTTGTTGACTTTTAGGATGAGAGTTGATAAAGTGCTGCTGGCAGCAACAGATTCACATAACTCCTCTACGCAAGCGTCAGTCAGAGTAAAATTCTCCAGACTGCAGAAACAAGACAAGACAGATATTTCAATCATCAGGTGCGGTTCTGTGTTTCAAACGATCTCTAATCATGCTAGTTTCTGTTGGGAGAATGTGGATGAGGATATCACTCACTCCAGGTGCTGTAGTTTGCAGTTTTTGTGCCTCAGCGCCTCCCACATGTGTTTGGCCGCAGTATCGCCCACATTATTCGCTCCTACAGAGAGACTGGTGAGCCTTGACCCGCCAGACGTCAAAATACTCCCCAGCGCTCGAAACACCTCCTCAGTCAACTCACATCCACTCAATCTACAACAAATACACACACTGTTTAGATTTCACAAAATCGGGAACGTTTTTAATGTGACTTTCTCAGATAGAGTCAATATGGCATCAAAATGTACTTATCAAGTGGTCTCATTGTGATTGTGCACGATTCATCACATTTAAAGAAAAGTTGAAATGATTGTGTTCATAACCTTTCATCAAAATGCAATAACATTCTCGACCTCGGAAAGAACATTTGCACTACCGTACAAATATTTGGGATTGGTAGCAATTTTGTATGTTTTTAAAGAAGTCTTCTGCTTACCAAGGCTGCAATTAATACAGTAAAGCAGTAATATTATGAAATATTATTACAATCTAAAATAACTTTTCTATTTGAATGTATTTTAATGTTATTTATTCCAGTATTCAGCGTCATATGATCCTTTAGAAATCATTCTGATTTTAATCATCCTACTTGGCTGATTTTCAAAAAATGTTTCTGATTATTATCAATGTTGAAAACAGTTGTGCTGCGTAATGAAGTGTGTAAACTTTTATAAAGGGTTTTTTTCAGGATTCTTTGATGATGGAATAGAAAAAAAAAACAGCATATTTGAAATATAAATCTTCTGTAACATTATAAATGTCTTTACTGTCATTTGAATGCGTTCTTGCTGAATAAAAGTATTGATTGCCTTTTAAAAAATCATTGTTATTATCCCTTACTTTTGAATGGTAGTGTATGTTCAACTGATCCAACCAAGAAAAAAATAATATTCACCAATGATATTCATAACACGCTTCAACTCTCTGCCTTTTTCACATGATCATCATCAATGTGATTAAAAAACAACTCATTTGCATACATACCCCAGTATTTCCAGTGTGCACTTAGGAGCCATCAGGGCTTCACATATCTGCATCCCTCCTGATTGGCCGAGATCATTTACGGACACGTCCAGCTCAGTCAGACAGCAGTTTTCTGATTGGAGGGCAGCTGCCAGAGAGGGGCAGCAGGAGCCAGTCAACTCGCAGTCAGACACTCTGCGAAAAAAAACAAAAAAACGTTTTTTATTAACCATGTGCAATTAACCTTATGAATTTTGTAGTTATTTGCAAACATCTCAAACATTGAGCCACACTCTGCTCCAATATATTGTATATATATTTTTATTTTCAAAATGTATTGCATTTAGTTCCTGTTTCCCGTCATTAATATATATATATATATATATACACTCACCGGCCACTTTATTAGGTACACCTGTCCAACTGCTCGTTAACACTTAATTTCTAAGCAGCCAATCACATGGCGGCAACTCAGTGCATTTAGGCATGTAGACATGGTCAAGACAATCTCCTGCAGTTCAAACCGAGCATCAGTATGGGGAAGAAAGGTGATTTGAGTGACTTTGAACGTGGCATGATTGTTGGTGCCAGAAGGGCTGGTCTGAGTATTTCAGAAACTGCTAATCTACTGGGATTTTCACGCACAACCATCTCTAAGGTTTACAGAGAATGGTCCGAAAAAGAAAAAACATCCAGTGAGCGGCAGTTCTGTGGGCGGAAATGCCTTGTTGATGCCAGAGGTCAGAGGAGAATGGCCAGACTGGTTCGAGCTGATAGAAGGGCAACAGTGACTGAAATAACCACTCGTTACAACCGAGGTATGCAGCAAAGCATTTGTGAAGCCACAACACGCACAACCTTGAGGCGGATGGGCTACAACAGCAGAAGACTCCACCGGGTACCACTCATCTCCACTACAAATAGGAAAAAGAGGCTACAATTTGCAAGAGCTCACCAAAATTGAACAGTTGAAGACTGGAAAAATGTTGCCTGGTCTGATGAGTCTCGATTTCTGTTGAGACATTCAGATGTTAGAGTCAGAATTTGGCGTAAACAGAATGAGAACATGGAACCATCATGCCTTGTTACCACTGTGCAGGCTGGTGGTGGTGGTGTAATGGTGTGGGGGATGTTTTCCTGGCACACTTTAGGCCCCTTAGTGCCAATTGGGCATCGTTTAAATGCCACGGCCTACCTGAGCATTGTTTCTGACCATGTCCATCCCTTTATGGCCACCATGTACCCATCCTCTGATGGCTACTTCCACCATGTCACAAAGCTCTAATCATTTCAAATTGGTTTCTTGAACATGACAATGAGTTCACTGTACTAAAATGGCCTCCACAGTCACCAGATCTCAACCCAATAGAGCATCTTTGGGATGTGGTGGAACGGGAGATTCGCATCATGGATGTGCAGCCGACAAATCTGCGGCAACTGTGTGATGCCATCATGTCAATATGGACCAAACTCCCTGAGGAATGCTTCCAGCACCTTGTTGAATCTATGCCACGAAGAATTGAGGCAGTTCTGAAGGCAAAAGGGGGTCCAACCCGTTACTAGCATGGGGTACCTAATAAAGTGGCCGGTGAGTGTATATACACCATTCAAAAGTTTTGATCAGTAAGATTATTTTTATTTTTAAAATAAATACTTTTATTTAGCAAGGATGCATTAAATTGTTCAAAAGTGACAGTAAAGACATTAATAATGTTACAAAAAAATTCTATTTTAAATCAATCCTGTAATTTTTTACTTTATATGCATCAAAGAATTCGGAGAAAGCTGTGTCTTTTCAACACTGGCAATGACAAGAAACATTTTTTATAAAATTGCACTATTTATTTTATTTCACTTTATCTTTGATCAAATAAATGCAGCTTTGTGAGCATAAGAGGCTTCTTTCAAAAACAATAAAAGATCTAACTTTTGAACGGTAGTATACAGTATATAAAAAACACACTTTGACATGTGTAAAGACAAAGATATTTGCTACTTAGAGGTGTTTAGACGTGACTTTTTAATATCCATGTATGTTGGTCACCTAAACACATAGCATATACTTTACTTCAATGTGTTTAGACGGCGTTTCTGTAACGCTTGTAAGATCAGCTCAATCCCATCATCCTTCAGTGAGTTACAGCTCAGGTCTAGCATCCTCAGCTCTGAAAAACCATTGTTCAGAGCAGAAGACAGTGCAGACATGGACGCCGCTGTCAGTGAGCAACCAAGCAGACTGCAGAACACATGCACACACAAACAACAAAACAGCGGTTAATTGGTTTCATTTCTATATTTCTGCTTCCAAAAAGAGTGAAGTAGTATGAATAGTGCAAGTGTACTTGATTTCCTGAAGTCTGCAGTTCTCCAGTGCACTGCTGAGATGAATAAGACCTTGATCCTCTAGTTTATTCCCATAGAGAATCAGCACACGCAGTCGGGAGCCTCCGGAGAGCATCTTCGCCAGTTCTTCACAATCAGCTGCGGCCAATGAGCATCCATTTAACCTAAACATAGTGACGACTCATTTCAGCAAGTATTACAGCAGAAGCAAGCACCATAAACAAGTTTATGATAAATGATAATGCTGGTGGCCGTAGCACAGCAGTATCACACAAGCTCTCGGCACACAGGAGGCAGTTTTGAGTCACAATCCCATTCCTAATATGATGCTGTCCTTTCTAATAAGGGCACATGCATAAGAAATGATCTTACGTGAGAGACTGCAGCCCAGTGCGTGTAAGTGCATGGCAGATGGTTTTGAATGATTCTTTTTCCAATGTGGAGCAGGAAAAATTCAGCGTGGTCACCCGGCCCTCGGCCAGCGCGGTTGCCAGGTGTGTGATGGTGGCGAATTTGAGATCACTCTGCATCAGACTGACAGGATAAAAGACACATTGGGCATTTGGACTTTAATTGTATGGCCAAAAAAGACTTTTTGTGAGACTTTTATTTTGCATTAAATTGTTCAAATGTGACAGTTTTATTTCAAATAAATGCTGTTCTTTTGAATTTTCTAATAATTATCAAAGAAGCATGAAAAATTTTATCAAACTTAAAAAAAGCACCACAACTGTTTTCAACATTAATAATCAGAAATGTTTCTTGAGCAGCAAATCAGCATATTAGAATGATTTCTGGAGGATCATGTGACACTGAAGACTGGAGTAATGATGCTGAAAAATTCAGCTTTGCATCACAGGAATAAATTACATTTTTAAATATATTACAGTAGAAAACAGTTATGATATTAGTAAAACATTTATAATGCTAAAGAGGCTTTCCAATTCGCCTTTGGCTAAGCCACACCCTAGAATATAGATTGACCAATCACAGCGCAGCCAAGAACGAGCTCTCAGAGGTCCGACACTTTTTCACAGCGCTCCATTGACTTTAACACAGGCGTCTCATATTTTTGGTCTCGGCAGGCTATTACCGTCGTAATTTTATGAAAAATATGGTTAAACGTTGTGCCTGGGGCATTTGTAACACAGATACGCGTTTCCCAGAGAGGTTGGAGGGGGGTGTCCGTTTTTTTCCCTTCCCAAACCGAAAACAAATCCTGACAAGTGTCGTCTAGCACACGCTGCTAATAAATACAACCTTATACTCGCGTAGTCCGTTTGCTGTGTAATAACGATTATAGAAGTGAATAGACCTACCCAGCTTTGCATGAACAGTGTTGCTCCTTGATATTGTTAGTCCCAGCCTCCGTCTCGATTAGTAGGATATGCGGTGGTTCATTTTTTGACTGTGACCGGTATGCTTTTGCCTCTATTTGGATGCCTTGTTGTTCCTTGCGTTTCACCTGTATGTCGTGAATATAGCCTTCGAACGTATATTGCAGCCCTTTTTCCTACTTCTATCGGACACTTTATTTGCTGCTTTATAAAAGTTTGATAAAAATTTCCGCAGGAAGAGCTGTCACAGCATAAGCCATGTTGATACCAGAGCCCAGATGAAGTTTGTTTGTCGGACGTAGCAACAGTAACTAAGGGGTGGGGCTTAGCCAAAGGCGAATTCAAATAAATGCTGTACTTTTAAAACTTTCTATCATGGTTTCCTCAAAAATATTCAGTAGCAAGCACAATTGTTTTCAACATTGATTATATATCCCTAAATTCAGCGTGAGGTGGTTTCAGAGTGATTAAAAGTTGTGCATCTCGTCAGACTCACCCAATGCTTTTCGACAGCCTTAGCGCTGGTAAAAGTTTCTCGACCTGCTTCTCTGTTAGTTTGGCTCTATATAGGTTCATGTACTCCATCTCTCCCATGCAACTCACTACATATGACAGCGCTGCGCAGTCGGGCTCCTGCATGTCACTGTAGCCAATATGCCTCCATTGGCTCTTACTGATGCTTTCTTTGACCAGAGATGAGTTACGTGCATGGTGCAGAAGCCGAAAAACAAGAAAGTGCTTTGTTGCACCACAAAGCCAACCTGGCAACACCTTAGAAACATATCCCATCAACCACTGAGAGAACTCAGAAATCCGGCTTTCATCGAACCTGCCCACGGAGTCTTCTATTGGTTTACGCTGGACTGAGTCCGACAGCCCTGCTAGAAATGTGTAGTAGAAATCCGAGCGCTCGTCCGAGATCTGCACGGATTGGTCGAGATAAAAGGATGCGGCCAATAAGAACTCTTGCATCATTGGAGACAGGAAGGAGAATGTGGTATCAGGGGAAGTGACATCACCATTTAAGCACAAGAAAGTAGAAAGCACAGGCTGCTGCAGAAAAGAACGCAGGCCACAGGAAGTGACGTCGTTGTAGGAGCAAACCGGATTGGTTAGTTTGCCCAAACCTAACACAAGCTCTCTGGTTTCTTCTGCATGCGTCTTCTGTTTCTGCAGGAGCGTGTGTGTTATGATGCTGAAGAGGTGAGTAAGAGTCTCAGGTGGGGTGTTTTTACTCTCAAACTGAGTTTTAAACACACTGCAAAGTGTCCAGCAGAAGGCCGGACGAAAACACTGCTCATACACTCCCAACGCCTGCTCACTTTGCTGAAAAAGTCTCTCTGATAGGTCTGGGTCATCAAAGAACTCCTGGAAGAACATTCTCCTTTGGGTCTGGGAGAACCCGACCACCTCGAAAGATCTCAAAGACTCGAGCTTGACTGGCTCTCTTGACGTGATCAGCATTGAAGCTCCAGGAAGCAGAGAACTGTGAAGAAGACTGCACAGCAACACAGAGCCGGTCGCTTCTTGTTGTACGTCACAGACGAGACTAGAGGAGGACGATGGAGTGTATAGAAGGTTCTGCGATTGCTCCAGCCCGTCGAGCACCAGAAGTAAAGATTGAGGACTCTGTAGAGCGACGGAAAGCGTCTCGGCGGAGATCTGAGAGTGCATGCGGCACAACATGCTCTGCAAACTCTCAGGTTTCCCTCCAAGAGCGGCCAGCTCCAAAACAGGCACTCGCAGAAGGAGTGCATAATGTTGCAGGCGCGTGCCCGTCGTCCAATCCCAAATGACCTTTTCCACCACTGTAGTCTTACCCATCCCATCTCCACCATGAAAAGCCACTCTGCGGCCTACAGATCCTGGAGGAAACTCTTGAGATATGACATCCTCAAAAGCTTCCCAATGGCCTCTGTTCACCCTGCCATAACCATCGTGGTACGAACACACTGAGAGGGGAGTGTAGTGGCCTCTCTGGATCACCTCTCCCACAGGCTCACCTCCCAAAAGAGAGTTGGGCAGAGTGGAGTTCAGCACAGAGTTTCTCAAGGCCTCCTTATACAATTGCTGCACGTCTGTGGAAAGAGAAATATACACTATAAAGGAAGTACTTAATTACATCACACTAACTATCTAGTATATATCTATCTATATATGTTCGCTCCTTCTATCTATATATCAATCATCTAATTACTGCACATCTATCTATCTGTCTATCATTCGCTCGTTCTAATCTATCACTCGTTTGTTTGTTCTATCTATCTATCTATCTATCTATCTATTTTATCTATCTATCTATCTATTCGCTCCTTCTATCGATCAATCATCTAATTACTAATAATAATAATAATAATTCATCACATTTATATAGCGCTTTTCTGGACACTCAAAGCGCTTCACATATGGCGCTTTTCCATTACCAGTACCAGCTCGACTCGACTCGACTTGGCTCGCCTCGACTCGGCTCGCTTTTCGCTCCGTTTTCCATTGCAGAAAGTACCGCCACAAATAGTACCCGGTCGTCATAGCGACGCATTTCGTTCCTCGTTGCCCCATCAAGCTCTCGCTGGATCCTCTCTTCAGCAACCAAACAAAGGAATGTCTGCACCTCCTCGTTTGACCACGGCGTATTCTTCCGAGTTGCCATAATAATAGTAGTAAGTTTAGTAACTATCTCTGGCCAAACTATTTAAAAATGGCGGGGTTATTCTGGATACTCCATCTGGCGCGTGCAATGATGACGCAGATTCTCTGCGACCAATCAGCAGTCGGCATTGTTTTTACGTCACATTTTAGTATCGGCTTAGCTCGCCTCAGCTCGCTTAGAACCTAGCCGGAGGTGGTACGAAAAAAAGTACCCGAAAGCAGGTACAGGTACAACTTTTACACAGTGGAAAACCAAACAAAGGCGAGTCGAGTCGAGTCGAGCCGAGCCGAGCCGAGGCGAGCTGGTACTGTGTAGTGGAAAAGCGCCAATAGAAGGGGGAATCTCCTCAACCACCACCAATGTGCAGCATCCACCTGGATGATGCGACGGCAGCCATAGTGCGCCAGAACGCCTACCACACACCAGCTTACTGGTGGAGAGGAGACAGAGTGATGAAGCCAATTGGTATATATATACATGGGGATGATTAGGAGGCCATGATGGACAAAGGCCACTGGGCAAATTTGGGATTTTGGGATTTTTTGTGACCACAGAGAGTCAGGACCTCGGTTTAACGTCGCATCCGAAGGACAGTGCTCAATTGACAGTATAGTGTCCCCATTACCATACTGGGGCGTTAAAACCCACACAGACCACAGGGTGAGCGCCCCCTGCTGGCCTCACTAACACCTCTTCCAGCAGCAACCTGGTTTTCTCAGAAGGTCTCCCATCCAGGTACTAACCAGGCTCAGCCCTGCTTAGCTTTGGTGGGCAAAAGCTTTAGTTACTGCAAGTCTATCTACAGTATTTATATATCTATAGGCCTATATATCATTCGCTATAGTTCTATCAATCTATCACTCTTTCTATCACTCTATCTATCTATCTATCTATCTATCTATCTATCTATCTATCTATCTATCTATCTATCTATCTATCTATCTATCTATCTATCTATCTATCTATCTATCTATCTATCTATCTATCTATCTATCTATCTATCTATCTGTTGAATGCCTTAGAAATGTCATTCCTGTCATTAAAATTCACACTCCACTTCCCGTAACATTAACTATCTGTCTATCATGTAACAGCTAAACATCAAACCGCCAGAGGTTTCAGACTCAAAACTGAAACTATTCTTACTCACCATATGAAATCTCGCTCGGCATGACTGGAGATGTTGATATCGTGGGATATTCTGATGTTATAGTTTGTCTAGTGTTGTGTCTCTGACAGGCTGGTCGGTCGTTGCTCTCTCGTCAGTGAGGAATGAGGAAGTGAGTTGTGTTTGTTTAATAAGAGCCTCTAATCACTACACAAAGAAGTTGTAGTTGCTGACACCTGCTATTTGCCTATTTAATGGCGCTGCTGGTCAGAGCAAAGTTTTCTATTGTCTCTGTTATCATGACCATAAACTGATCTACAGAAGAAAAGCCTGATACAAAATAGCACTTGTGTGTATAAAACATAAAACATTCTAGGTTTTTCTTTTTGTTGGGTTTAGAGTTTGCTTGATGGTTGTGTGTTTATTGTAAAGGTGCTTAAATAAGGGGGTGTTGATTCCTTTTGTTACTTTCCTTGGAATCTTATCAAGCCTGTTTCTTTCTCTGAAAACTGGATGACAAACTTTGCTTTACCCCTGTATTACTGTTAGACTATTACATGAGTAAAGCTGTCTGGCCTCTGGTCACGCTCTTCTTTGATGTGGAGAAAAAAAATCCTTCAGATTCTTCAAATGACACTAATTGTGTAATTTACATTTAAGGACAGAAATATTAAGGGGCTAATTCACCCAAAAATGAACATTTTGTCATAATTACTGTTACTTATGTTGTTCCAAACCTTTTTGCTGAACACAAAAGATGATATTTTAAAGAATGTTGATAATCAAACAGCCATTGACTTCTATAGTAGGAAAAAAATACTATGGAAGTCAATGGCTGTGTGGTTACCAGCATCCTTTAAAATATCATCTTTTGTGTTGACCACAAGAAAGAAACTCAAGTTTGGAACATCATGAGGGTGAGTAAATGATGACAAAAAAATTGTTTTGGGGTAAACTATCCCTTTAATACCTGATTAAGATTTTGCAATAATCCTTAAGTTTATTTATTTTTTCACATTTATAATGGAATTTCAGACTCAGAGTCTGGGACAATGGTAAAAAAATGTTTTACATACATGGCATTTGGAGAATTTTTATATAGATCTGATTTTATATATATAAAATATGTGTATGTATGTATATATATATAGCCTACTGTATATATGACCTTCATATAACAAAAAAAAAGACATTTGCTGCTTGTAATAAAACATTGAGGACAAAATATTATTTATTTTTGTAAAACCAAATAACATTGAGGACATTATTTTCTTCTTTTTGTAATTTGCCCACTCTTGAAGTCTTCACTCAGCAATGACAAGCAGTGATTGTTTGATTGACATGTGAGGTAAATGTGTAGACAGTGGGATTCTTGCTCTTCATTAGCGTCTATGGACTGGATAAATGTTTACGCTGGATTCCAGCCTGATGGGAGAGAGGTCGGATTTGAGTTATTAACTGAAACCTTCTTACTTTTTATTTATACTTCTGACCACTTATTTCAGCTATTTCATACTTTATATTAAGCACTCGGTAAATTGGTTAAGCTTTTTCGGTTTCACCTGTTCTCTTCTCCTTCCAGTAGTTTTTTGTAGGTGGCGATCTCAATATCCAGAGCCAGTTTGAGATTCATCAGCACCTGGTAGTCATGGAGATGTTTGGTCATGTCCTGTTTGGCTTTCTGCAGTGCGTCCTGCAGTGATCTGATTTGTTGTTTGGCGTCATGCACCGCATCCTCACCACAACGCTCCGCCTCTTCAATCTGCTCCTCCACACTCTCACACTGTAATGACATCAGACAACTACAGTACAACTCATTTAAAATGAGCTTACATGCATTTCCAGTCCTGGCCTTTAAAGATCCTGTCTGCCATAGCACAGAAAGTTATCAGTGCGTTTATTGAGGATGCTCATGGTTGCCCTAGTGTTCAAATGCAGACATGATCAGTTGCTAGTAGAGTATTATCTGGATCAGTTACCTGGGATTTAGCTGAGGTTATGTCATTCTGCAGTCGCATGATCTGCCTTTTCAAATCAGCTATTGCACCTGTACTGCGTTTCAGCTCAGTGCTGCACTGGTCAGCCTGTGATGAGATCATGTGCAACTGTGGAGAAAAACAGGTATATGCACAATTATTAAGGTTATGTAATATATAATGTATGTAATATATATATATATACACACACATTATTGGAATTATTATGATTTGTAAAATAAGTTTGTATGTGCTCATCAAGGCTGCATTTATTTGATCAAAAAATCAGCCTATTAGAATGATTTCTGAACGATCATGTGACACTGAAGACTGGAGTAATGATGCTGAAAATTCAGCTTTGCATCACAGGAATAAATTACATTTTAAAATATATTTATACAGAAAACAGTTATTTTGAATTGTAATAATATTTCACAATTTTTTTATCACTTTTGTTTGCCTTCATTAGGTTCTGTGGTGTGACATTAATTTTTAACAATAAAAATATGATACGTAATATACACGTTGTTCTACAAATTGTTTTAGATGTGTGTAGTAAAATAATATTTTTATTATGGAAATTAAAACATTATGTAGGCCTACATGCTTTGAAATAAAGAGTTGGATAATAAAAAATACGTTAAAAAAAATTGTTGTAGATGAATTATAGCATGACTCATTGCAAAATAAATGAATACAAATAAGTTTACACTAAATAAATAATAGATATTACAATTAAGAAATAAAAACATTTGATTTAAATAAATAATAACACAGAAGGATTATCATATTTGGGGGGCCGTGGCAAGATTACAATTTTAAACCACTTGAAATTTCATGTCAACTGCTTAGAAATGAATACACACATATTTATAATAGGCTAAATGTAAACACCAGCTGTTTCAAAAGTCTAAAGTCTGTAATTATAATAGGTTAAAACAGGAGAACCTCCAGGAAATAACAGACGAGATCTCAACTGCTGTTCTCAGAGATTAAATGCAGCGTCCTGTAAATGGAGCTTTTGTTTAAGGCTTCAGATTCTCCGATTTTTTCTCATGAGAAACAGCACCAATAATCTCATGTTTCTCCTTTAGCATTTCTCAACATCGTCTCGTTCAGAGTTGCCAAGATACCCAATTCTGTAATGGGAAGTCAGAGATCTGATCTTCACCTTGTTCTTATAGCAGGCCTCCGCTTCCTTTCGGCTGCATGCTGAGATCTCCTCATACCGGCTCTTCACATCAGAGATGATCTTCTCCATGTTCAGCGTCCGGCTGTTGTCCATCTCCACTACAACAGACATGCTCTTCCCTCCAGCCTGCAGCTCATGCAGCTCCTACACACAGAGAGAGAGAGAGGGATAAGATTCACCTCAGGACGTTTAGGCGTTTTATTCACGTGTCTGAGTTTGAATTACCTGTTCATAGAAGCACTTGAAAAAGTTCAAGTCACACAGGATTCCTGATATTTTCTCTTCCAGTGCATTTTTACACAAGTACGTTGCGTCCACATCCTGTCAGGGCATTTACACTTGTTAGCTTGGCAGATGCTTTTTGCAAGCAAACGACTAATGTTAGACAGTGTTGTATTGACCATCAGGGCCGTCGCCTCAGTTCACAGGCCTGGGACGCTCCTGGAGCTCATATACAGTAGAGGAGGATGGCTCTAGAAACGTCGTTTTGGATAAAAGTGTCTGCCAAATGCAGGCAACAACCCTGATGATCACTTTTTTTTCCATCAGACATTAATTGTGTTATCTATCTTCTGTAACTAGATTTGTCTTACCTTCTTCAGAAGAACAAATTCATTTTCAGCTTTGTTTCTGTTATTAATCTCATCTTCATACCTGTAAAAGCATATATCCTACATGTTAACTTCACTCAGGGGTTTTGTTGTTAACTAATACTATTCAAAATAGTTTCCATTTATTGAAATTGAGCTGAAATAAAATACTAGTCAATATAAATAATATTAGATGAAAAACTTCAACTTAAAAAAATGACAAATGACAAATTGAAATCTTGCCTTGGTAACTAACTGGGGGGAAAAAAGTTTTAAAAATGATTAAAGCTAAACTGAAATAAAAAATAAATGAAAGCTAAATAGAAATATAAAAAAACTTGCAAAAAAGACCAAATCATATAACAGAAGCTAAAATTCTAAACTGAAAATATAAAAAATAAAAGCTAATTCAAAATATTAATAAATAATACTGGGCTTATTATAAATCATGCTAAATAATAAATAAATAGTCATAAAATATGTTGTTTGCGCAAACATAATCACTTCATATCATAATGTTAATTAATTAATAATAAAGTATGGATCTTCAACAATGTGAGAATGTGTCAGAATCTTCCTGTTGTTTTAATTCATTAATCTTTTCCGACGAAAGGGATGGTTAAATTACCGCAGTAAAATGACTTACATTTGTCAGATCCTTATCATATTGAATTCTTAACATATTACCATATTTGGCATACAATTAAGTCAACTGGTATTTTGGCTAAAACTCCACGGAAAAATGATTGTTAGGAATGTTGTTGTTACACTCTTTCAAATAAAGGTTCCACCTTGGGTTTCAACAGCGATGCATTAGAAGAACTATTTCAGTGAACAGTTCTTAAATAACTTTTCTTGTTTTTGTTTAAAAAGCATTTGAAAACATTCTAAAGAACGTTATCCATTTTTTGGGGGATGTTAAAGGTTCATAGAAGAACAATAAAGAGTACATGATTTTACATTTTAGATTTGAAATGATTCTGAATGTAAGAATGTTGAGACTATAATTATGAAGAATATTGAGAGAAATACTCCGCTCTGCTTATGATGGTTTGAAAGTGAACACTATAGTTTCGAGTCGGAACTGAAGATGAAGTGTCCGATTACAGACCTGTGTTTTAATTCCTCAACCTGTGCGTGGGCATTCCCGAGCTCGGCATCCAGGTGTTCCTTGTCTTTCTTCACGCGCTCCAGCTGTTCCTGCAGGGATCTGATGTAAGACTGCAGCATGGGCTCCAGTTTAGACTCGGGGTTACACTCTTTCTGTAGCAGCTGCCATTTAGTCTCCAAAACCTTGTTCTCCTGCTCCAGCCTACGAACCTGCGTGTGTTTATGAGAACATTTTAGTGTTCAAATGTTGCTCTTGCAACTATTATGTTTCATTTAAGGATCAACTCTTGATCATTTTTTCTTTAGGAAAAACCCCCCAGAAATATAATGCAAAATATTAACAAAACAGACAACAATTGTCATACAGTAAGAGTAGAGCTGTAAATGAATATGGTAGCTCAGTTCATATGATATTGTGAAAACTGTTTTTATTGAGAAAAGTTTGACTTCATATTGAAATCTCATCTTTAGGGTTGGCCAGACTGAGCACAATTTGAGCCTCTGCTGATATTCGATAGGAGGCATTTTATTATTTTAGGGTGACCATATTTTGATTATCGAAAACCAGGACACTCGGCAGAATTTAGGTTTCTTCTTCCTCTTTATCCTGTTTTTCTTTCTTAATGGCCCAATGAAAAATAATGAAAACCAGGACATTTTCATCACTTTATAAAAAACAGCCAGGACAGCACGTGAAAACAGGACATGTCCTGGGAAAACAGGACGTTTGGTCACCCTTGAGTCTTTTTCTCAGAAGACTTATTGAAAAGTCGGTTTGCTTTCATTTTTATCTCATTGGCATCTAGGAGAAACAATTGAGATGTTAAATCATTTTGTGATTTTTCTCTCCAACAGGTTATTAATAGATCTGGCTGAGATTGAGGAAGTATAAAAATAAATATAAAATGAGAAAGAATTTAAGTAATAAAAAAAACATTATGTATATATTTCTCCCCTCTGGCTGCTGGGATTCAGATATTAAAAAAATAAAATAAAAGGATACAAAATAATTAGTAAAAATGAATAAATATTTATTTCAGTTTATTAACAGATCTGGGTGCTGAGATTAAAATAAGAAAAATAAGTATACATAGGCGTACATACAATAAATATCAATAAATTCGGTAGTTTTTCATATTTTCCAGACCCATAAATACATTTAATTACAAAGCTGACCTTTAACAATCTCCGTTATGTATTATGAGCACTTAGCAGCGTGACGTAGGCAGAGAATTAGAAATGTCTCACCTTGTCGATGAAGGAGGCAAAGCGATTGTTGAGGATTTTGATCTGTTCTTTCTCCTGGGTCCGCACAGCCTGCAGGTCGGGGTCCAGCTGGAGATCCACGGGGGTCAGGAGACTCGTGTTAACGGACACAGCCTGGATGGGGACCACGTTCCCATAAGCGAAGTACGAGTTACCCAGACGGGGGTATGAGCCCCCTGAGCGGCTGCTGAAGCCCTTATTAGAAGCCATTATTACCAGACAGAGATGGAGAGATGGTGTGTTGCAGAAGGAGGACAGGACGGTAAACAGACGCTGAAGGTTCCCGAGAGCTCGGCTACTTATGACTGCTGACAGGTGGGCGTGTTTGTGTGTAAATGAGGATGTACGCATTACTCACTCTGAAAAACCTGTTCAGCCCATTACCTGTTCAGAGGAAACATACTCCACATTCATGCACAAACTGTCAAAGTGACAAAATGACAAGCATGCAGACTATTGTTTCTCTTTCTAACTAGATAGCCTACGGCCTACCTTCAAGAGATCTATACCTTTAATTATTAGAATATTTCCTGTTCCTGGTTGTCTAAAATATGTGATGGGCTGCAATATTAGATAAATGTAGGCCTACTTTGCAAGTATTTCTTTATTTAGTGTGATTTTTGTGCGGTTTGTTCATAAACAATTAGATAATTTAAAGGGGTCATGACATGAAATCAAATTTGCCTTGATCTTTTGACACATAGGCTACAGTAAGAGGTCTTTGTACCATGCAAGATTCATAGCTTAAGACATCCTCTTCATAATAAACAAAGCATTTTTTTAATCAATATATTTTTGATATTGCGGGATCTGTGACGTCATGTGCATATGCCTGCCCCATTCAAGCCTCATTTTGAGTTCAATGAGAAATTAGTTCTCAGCACATATTAAAATAAATATCTAAAGAAAAAAATATTTGAATTTATAGAATTAACTTTTACAATTAATTTGATCTATTTTATCGAAGTTTGTATATTCTTATATTTACAAAGTATTTTTTCCTAACAAAAATGATCACGTTAAAATACTTAAATAATAAATCAAATTCTCGAAATCAAACGCAATTTTATTTCCTCATTTAGGGTAGCATCAGCATGAACTATAACAGAATTAATATGGAATATAATTTGTGTGTGATAAATAAATATATTTCAGTCAGTCAGTATATTCCAAAACAATCCATGAGATGGCGCTGTTGGGACGCACGCAAAACTCAGCAGAACGCACACAAATCTGCTTCCTGTTTACGTTTGCTGCTGAGCACTTTCAGTACGAGAATAGACAGCAGACATCTCGAATCTCACCTGGAAACAGGCTCCGTGTTACCTTTTCCACAACCGTCTCTGCCCGTGCGCCTGTAGCCGATCCTGTCTGTTAGACAGGCCGTTTCAATGCATTTCAGACAAGCTTTACCGCCGCGCAGATGGACGCCGTTGATCTGTTTTCAAGCTGCAGAAAGGGCGACATTGCCAGAGTGAGGTCAGACAGCTGATGGGTTGTTGTTGTTGTTGTTTTGTTTTGAAGTTTTTCCATGTGAACACATATCCACGGCCTAATTATTATCAAAATATTGTATATACAGAGTAAATATACACTACATATAGACTCTGTAACGTTACGTACAAGTCAATATGCAAAGCCTACATAAACTCTAGACTTTGATTTATTTGTAACCAAGTGTGCATGGGATATAGTCTGTACATACAGTTTAGTCATACCTAAACAAATATACATGACTTGTATAGTCTTTATATATTAATTATGCATATCTAAACAAAAGTTCATGGCCTCTATAGTCATACTGTATGCACTTCTAAGCAAATGTGCTTGGGCTACACACACACTCTATCATGTATACCACATATGCATATCAAAACAAATACGTTTCGTATCTAGACACTACATATGCTTATCTAAAACAGCCTATGTAGTCTTAGATACTGTATAAACAAATGTGCATGACCAGTGTTGTCTTTAGAGACTGTATATGCACATGCAACACGAACAATGTGCAAATCCAAGGCATATATAGTGTTTGGATACTGACTGTATGCATATCTAAGCAACTGCATGGCATATATATATATATTATCTAGTAACTAGTATGTGCATTCAGTAGCTACTAGCTAAGATGCTGTTTCATTGCAACATAGAATTACGCTTGACTAGCACCTTTGATTGAAATATACGCTTTGCTTGTAACACCATAATATACCAGGGTTGTTTTTCAGTGTCATTCAGTTGTTTTATTAATATTTGCAGTAATGTTGTGAAACAGTGAAAGACCTTGCGTGGCCTCAGAATAAGAAGGAAAAACATGTGAGGGTGACAGATAACATGTCACTGTATTGGCCCACATACAGTAAAGAATTACTGTACTTAGTCTTTTCTAAGTACAGATTTCTTAAAGGGATAGTTCACCCAAAAATGAAAATGCTGTCATCATTTACTCACCCTCATGTTGTTCCAAACCGGTATGAGTTTCTTAATTCTGTTGAACACAAAAGAAGATATTTTAAAGAAAAATATGACAATTTTCATTTTAGGGTGAACTATCCCTTTAAAGCTTGTGTGATTCTCTCAATTATTATGTTGGTTGGTTTGTATCTAACATTTTTCATCTTCTCCAGATACCTGGTTGAACAAAGAGATGTAGAGCTGAACATCAGAGATAAGTGGGACAGCACACCTCTGTAAGACTGCTTGCTTATTTCCGTTTACTGTCTGCCATGTCTGTTTTGATGAAGCCACTGATATCTTTCTGGTTTTGTCTTCAGGTATTATGCATGTCTCTGTGGACATGAAGAGCTGGTGCAGTACCTGCTTGCCAACGGTAAATGCTATAACGATTATTCATAACTAACCAGGGAGTTGTACTCTGTTCTGTATAGTCAGGTTTTAATGATTAGGATACAAAATAAAGCCTGAAACTATGGAAGCTTGTTCCCTCCACGGAATACAAAAAGGTAATTGCGACTTTTAATCTGCTGACTTTTTTCTCAGAAGTTTATGTCTTGCAATTCGGACATTATAACTAGGCTCACAATAAGCAATTGTGAGTTTATATCTGAGAAAAAGTTATAATTGCAAGATTTAAAATATATAGAATTTATACCCCTGGTTTCACAGACTTAAGCCTTTTAAGTCTAGTCCCAGACTAAAATGCATGTTTGAGCTGTTTTAACAGAAAGCAACTTGCTTTTGTTTTGTTGTTTTTGACATTGTTTTGTCTCAAGATGCACACCAGTAATGTGTTTTTCTAAGGCGTTTATAAAAGCTACTTAAATGTCCTAATTGAAACCAGATCATACATTTTATATATCTCACAATTCTGACTTTATTATTCGCAATTGCTACTTTGAGATTATATCTCACATTTCAGAGAAAAAAGTCAGAGAATTATCAGATATAAACTCGCAATTGTGAGGACAAAAAAATCACAATTGTGAGATAAAAAGTTGCAATTACCTTTTTTAAATTATTTATTCCATGGCTGAAACGAGCTTCCAGATAAAAATAAAAATAAATAGTTCAGTTCAGCTTTACATGTTCAAACAGGAGTCGGGCATTGATTTTTGAAGCAGTCCAGCGTAAAATGATTTGTGCAAATATATAACACTTTAACAACTTTCTTCGGCACAATTCCGACATAAATGAAATTCAATCACGGTGTCTTCAGTGACTGGGAGTCTATGGAGACTCTTATGGTACACCCAATAACAGAACATTTGTAATGTTTTTTTGGCGCAGACATTGTATATCTCCAGATGCTACAGCAAGGAAACAGAAATGGCGGACTGCTGCGGCTCATTTAGGGTGGTATCTATGCTAATAGGGCTCTTACGTAAGAGTAGCGGGAAATCTGGAACCACTCGTTTGGAGAGACTGTTTATGATTTATGGGGAAACTGGTAGTTTACATACACTGTGGACACATATCTGTGTTCAAACACCTTATAATATTCAATTTTGCATAATAGGTCCCCTTTAAAAGGTCACACCAGGAAAAAATAAATTTTATTTAACCCTCTGGGGTCCTTCATTTAACAGCCACAGTCGGGGCCTTCGGGTCCAAATGGACCCGAAGGGCGGGATTAATATTAATACTTCTTTTTTGGTGTTTTGAGATAATTTTATGATTTATAATTAATATTTATGCAATGATTATGACCTCTTTTTTCTCCTATTGAATATAATAGAATTTTTAAAAAAAAATTTTTTTTTTTTTTTTTATTAAAGCTGTATTTCATTTTAGAGTCAAGCCTAGGCCTCATGAAAGCAATTTTTGTAATGAGATGGATGCCATCTGGTGGACACACTGAGCATTTTAAAATTTCAAAACAGATATATGTAATCTGAATTTATTAGTGTGTATGTGCATAAAAGTGTGTGTGTGTGTGTGTGTGTGGATGTGTCTGTTTTGCACTCTTGATGTTTTATAGATTCACCCCTTCACTGTTGTGTGCTTTTTTTTCTGGATCGTGGCTGATTTGTAGATTGTACGCACAAAAAAACTCTGTATTTTCACATTTTTGCCAATTTCCCATTCATTTCCTATGGGGGTCCATTTGGACCTGAAGGTCCTGAGTGTTACTATTTTTTTTACAACCACTTAGACTATTCAAATCCTGTCCCCAATTATTTTGGGTGTTCATATACCAAGTACCAACAAAGTCACCAAATTTCAGACCATTCCGATGAAGCTATGATTTTTAATAATTTTTTATTTAAATGCTTCGGGTCCATTTGAGCCGAAGGACCAGTTGCACCATATGTATTACTGATCTTTGTTGTGGCAGGAGCAAAGTGTGAGGCGAACACATTTGACGGCGAGCGCTGTCTGTACGGAGCGCTGAGCGACCCCATCCGCCGGCTGCTCAAAGAGTACAAGCGCATCACAGCGAAGGCCATGCAGAGAGACTACTACGACCAGTTCCTGCAGACGTGAGGACTATAAACACATACAAACAAAAGCCCAAACCACAGTCACTTTCACAAACTGACTGGTGCTTTTCCCCATCACAGGCTTTTGGAGCAGGGCAACTACAGTGACGTGACGTTTATGGTGCACGGTGAGATGTTCAAGGCCCACCGATGTATCTTGAGTGCCCGATCAGAATACTTCGCTCACATGCTGGAGACCAAGTGGAAGGGCAAGAGTGCGATTGCACTCAAACATCCACTGGTAGGCGCTGTTTGACTGCACAAAAAATCCAATTTGTATTCATCCTGATACTATTGGAGCAGGGTTATTATAGATTACTACACTAAAACTCAAACTGCAACCATAAAAACAAAAGTGTTACTTGAAATGAACGTTAAATGAACTAAAAACTTATTTCAGCTAGTTGCCAAGGCATTCGTTTAGTTTAACTTGATGTACTCAAATAACTAAAAATAATAATAATAATTAATAAAAACTCTATCGACATTTAAAAATTGACACAAATACACAAAAAAAATGCTAAAACTTTATCTGAAATTAAAATGAAAACGGAAAATTTTTAAATAAAACTGATTCAAAATAATAATAAAAACTATAATAGTATCTCAATGATACTAAAAAAACACTGGCCTGTGAGATCATGTCAAAGATGTTCTAATTATGCATACCACTACACTCTTTCATACCTTTATGAAAAGTATATGTTTTATAAAAGTATATGTAAATTTGTAAGTGTCATTTTCCTGACTAATAAGTTGTACCACCTTCTTATCAATTAGTATTAAACATGAAAGTGTATGTTCATAGTTTTTTCAGAAAGTGTTAATGCTACTGTTCACATCTTGTGCTGCTTTAATTATCTTCTCCCTAGGGTTGTGTTAAATTAAGAAGCTCTCTTATAACCTTTTACATCACCAGCATGCTTCAAACTTTCATGATCCTAATGTGTCCATTTCAATTTTCTTTTCTTTTTTTTAGGTCAATCCTGCTGCATTCGGTGCAATCATGCAGTATTTCTACACTGGTGAGCGTCAGACCAAGACCGAGAGTTAAGTTAGCAATCTTCTGCCAGACACTATTTTTTTCCTCACCCTGTGCTGTTTTTCTTTTTTTTCAGGTCGTTTGGACATAGATGTGAATTACGTGGAGGATTGCAAGCGTTTGGCGAAACAGTGCAAGATCAGCGAGCTGATTGAGGAGCTGGAAGTGAAGTGCAAACAGGTTTATGAGTTTGGTGAGGAACCAGTCTAGTCAACACACCGGTGAAACTGTTAGGCTAATTTGAAACTCGTAAATTAAAGTAGCTATTGTACAGTCAAGCTAGCCTGGTTAAAACCAGACCATTCTCAGTTGTAACTGAGTTATGGTCTGGCAAAGCGTCATAGACAAATCATTTCCAGAGGGGCGTCACCAACGGACGTCGCGGATAGACCTAAACCCAATCAGAGCGATGAAGGAGATGACGTATGCAGAGCGGCGGAGAAACATCTCCGAGTGTTGTTCTTTGCTCGGTTTTTAACAAAAAGGAAACTTAAAACAGACGCGATAGCTGATTGGAACGAGTGATGTTCGACGGCGGCATCCATCTTTGTAATGTAGGCTACAAAATCTGCTTCAAAATCCCAGCGCTGTCGTCATCGTGTAAAGCCCGCCCCAACGTTTCTGATTGGTGCCTCGATTTCGACGGATTGGAAATGGGCTTGAATGAGCTCTTTGCCAGACTAACTTTCAGAGCAAATCTAAATTTGCCGGAAGTTGTCTGGGTTTTCCCAGGCTACAGTCAAGCTGTCATTTTGAACTAAAGAACTGGTAAGATTTTCAATGTTTTTGAAAGAAATCTCTTCTGTTCACCCCTGCCCTAATACATTAAATAATGTTAATCTATTGAACCTTATTTAACAGTTAAAATAGTGTAATAATAGCAGGTTTTTTTTTTTTTTATCAGCTTTTTTTGCATTTTTTTATTTTTTTCTACAAAAAAAACCCAGTAATTTTAGGACTTAAAAAAAAAAATTGTTTAGTTATGATTTGGTAAATCAGTTTGAACAACACACACTCTCTCTCTCTCTCTGTCAGTGTCTAATAAGCCCGGGACGTGTGTGAAGGTGTTAACACTGGATCCTCATGACTTTCAGCTGCAGGATGGAATGGCTCTGCTGGCTGACAGTGCACTTCCTGCTGAGCTCAGGGTGAGAGGACGCACACACACGCTTACCTTTATTAGGAATTCAGCTCTCACTTTGAACACCTATAGCCTCTTATCACTAGGGTGAAGATTTGTGCCGGAATGTGTGATTGCCTAGCAACTGGTTGTTAAAATAGTTATATTCAAAGTATCAGTTCCTCATCACAGGAATAAATTACATTTTTAAATATTTTCAAAAAGAAAACAGTTTATATATTATAATATATAAATATTTCACAATATCATCGTTTTTTTCTGTATTTTTTTATCAAATAAATTCAGCCTTGGTGAGCAGAAGAGACTTCTTTTCTTTTCTTTCTTCCCGACCACAAACATTTGAATGGTCTTGTTTATAAGTGTGCAAGAATGTTGAGCTGCAGTATTATAGACTAAAGTCAACCACTCCTATTTAATAAAAAACATACAATTATTTCTATACTGCTTGCAGTGATGTTTTGTTTTGTGTTGTGATATTCATCACTGATTAAAACTGCTGCTGTGTGATTTTTAGGTTGGATACGGTCAGCTTCCTTTCGATCTAACTGACAGTTTTCCGAGTTATCCTGATATCTGTTTCCGGGTGGAGGGCAATGACTTCCTGTGTCATAAGGTCAGTGTTTGGTAATACTGATAATCATAATCCCTGGTTGTTGTATTTGGGACGGCATTAGTTGCAACCCAAATGCAAATGAAGACATCAGTGTAATGTCTGTCTTTGGTTATATTTTTAATCACTTAGAATCGATTATTAGATTGACAGTTGTGCTTTAATATTCTATTTGTGGTTGATTAAAAAGGGCATTTTGCGGATTAAACTTGCGTGTCTGTGTGTGTGTGTGTGTGTGTGTACGCAGGCGTTTTTCTGTGGTCGTAGTGATTATTTTAAAGCGCTGATGGAGGATCATTTCTGCGAGGGTGAAACTCTACAGGCTCATCCCAGTATTCCCGTCATCACCCTTCACGATGTGTCTCACGATTTGTTTACAAGAATCCTTTACTACATCTACAGTGACAACACTCAGGTACACACAAACATGTGCAATAAACACTACATACAATCAAGACATGTCTCAACAGATGCTGAACATTTTCTATTTACCGAACGCTTCCAAATACAAGTCTAGAGTAGTTCTAGCATTAAACAAACTGATATTTATTAGTGTTGTTATCATTAACTAAAACAAATAAATTAAAATAGAAATATTATATATGAAAAACCTTTGGCAAACGTTTGGCAACTAACTGAAGGTGTAAGTTGTACTAAAATGATTAAAAATGAATTAAAGCTAAATATAAATAAATAAATATATTTATATACAAAAGCACAACTCGCATAATAAACATAGTGAAATACATGGATGCTAAAGTTTTGACGTCACCACCGGGCAATAACCTGTTTTTTTTAATACAGTATTTCTAAACGTGGTTTACTTGCATTGCCAGGTTATTGATTTGCATGTTAAACTGAGTTATCAGCGTATTGTTGTGCATGTAAACGTGCTCTCAAAAAATACAGACAAATAACAAACAGCCATAACAAAGTACAATACACAGACCAAGAGCTGAAGAGTAATATTCAGAGAAAAATGTGTTTTTAAGAGGTTTTTGAAAGAAAGAAGAGAGGATATTTGACGTATGTCTTGAGGTAGAGCATTACACAACCTGGGAGATGTAACACTAAAAGACCTGGCACCCATAGGGACCCGACTAAATTTAGGAGTCATTAACAATCCCGCACTAGAAGATCTTAATGAACGAACAGGGGCATAAGGTTGAAATAAATCAGATGAAGGACCAAGGTTATGAAGAGCTTTGTGCGTGAGGGTGAGGGTTAGCACCGTGAAGTTTATACGAAAACCGGAAGAATTGGAGTAATGTGCTCGTTCTTTCTTGTGAGAGAAATCAAACGGCCTGCAGAGTTTTGATCATGTTGTAATCGTTTGATGTTTTTAGCTGAAAGGCCATAAATATGTGAGTTACAGTAATCAAGGTAAGATGTGACAGAGGCATGTATAACAGTTTCAGCATCCTGCTGACTGGAAGATCAAATACGAGAGATATAACCACCTTACCAATGTGAGCATTAAATGAAAGAGTGGAATCAAGAAATACAGCAAGATTTCGAGCTGTCGTAGAGGGCATCGTCAGGTCACCAAACTCACCGTCCAGGTCTATCAGTTGGCCAGGTGGTTTGGACACAACAGATTTAGAACCAATCAGTATTAGATGGATAGATAGATAGGTAGATAGATAGATAGATAGGTAGATAGGTAGATAGATAGATAGATAGGTAGATAGGTAGATAGATAGATAGATAGATAGATAGATAGATAGATAGATAGATAGATAGATAGATAGATAGATAGATAGATAGATGGTAGAGAGATAGATAGATGGTAGAGAGATAGATAGATGGTAGATAGATAGATAGATAGATAGATAGATAGATAGATAGATAGATAGATAGATAGATAGATAGATAGATAGATAGATAGATAGATAGATAGATAGATAGATGGTAGATAGAGAGATAGATAGATAGATAGATAGATAGATAGATGGTAGAGAGATAGATAGATGGTAGATAGATAGATAGATAGATAGATAGATAGATAGATAGATAGATAGATAGATAGATAGATGGTAGAGAGATAGATAGATGGTAGATAGATAGATAGATAGATAGATAGATAGATAGATAGATAGATAGATAGATAGATAGATAGATAGATAGATAGATAGATAGATAGATAGATAGATGGTAGATAGATAGATAGATAGATAGATAGATAGATAGAGAGATAGATAGATAGATAGATAGATAGATAGATGGTAGAGAGATAGATAGATGGTAGATAGATAGATAGATAGATAGATAGATAGATAGATAGATAGATAGATAGATAGATAGATAGATAGATAGATAGATAGATAGATAGAAAGAAAATATGGTTGTAATAGATATAAGTGCTACATAGTGTTGTTACTGCAATTAAAGAGTCTAATTGCTGTGTTAAGGAAGGACCTGCGGTACCTCCGTTTTGTCTGAGTTAAATTTAAGGTGATTTGCCTTCAGCCAAAGCTTAAGTTCCTTGATGCAAATTGAATTGTAAACCCCGAGGAGATGGAAACACTTTCACGTTAAACCGTCGTAACGTACACTCTCTCTTTAAAGTCCTTTTAAGGCAAGTCATATCATTTAGATGCTAATAATTCCCCTGACAACAATGGTATCATAAATTGTACTTGATTAGCTGAAATCATGTTAAACAGCTTCATAAATGCCTCAGTGTCAGATGTGCTAGTGAAGTGATGTGCTCTGTCACTGTTTTCCAGCTCTCTCATGAGAACGTGTATGAGGTTCTGTGTGTGGCCGACATGTACCTGTTGCCGGGTCTGAAGCGTCTGTGTGGCAGAACCCTGGCCGCGCTGCTCAATGAGGAGAACGTGCTGCACATGTGGAAGACGGCAGAACTGTTCCGGCTCTCGCGTCTGGAGGACCAGTGCACAGAATACATGGCCAAGATCATAGAGCGGGTACAGCAGCTGCGTGTTCGTTCACGGTTATGCTGCGTTTATGCTTATCAAAATTCACATTATTTACATTCATAATGAATGTCCCTGGTGTTATTGTGGCCCGCTCATCCATTTAAATATTATTATTAAAATAAATTATATAAATATATTATATATTAATGTAAAAATAAATGATATAATATAAAATAATGATTTATTTTAGATATTTATACATTTATATGAAAATATTTTGTAATATTATTATAAAATATTTGTAAATATAAAAATAAATGTAGTATAGAAATAACAATAATGTATGTTTATACATTTATATTTATATAATATAAATATATCAAAATAAATGTGTATAATTTTATAAGAAATAAGTATAAAATTAGTTAGGTAATATAGAAATAATATTTGATTTTATATAAAAAATATACATGTATATTTATATCATATAAAAAAGTGTTTATTGTATTTTTAAATATAAATAAAAATTCTATTTTATTATAATATATTATAATAATAATAAATATTTTATATAAATACAAATTTAAATTACATTTAAAATATATATTTAATATAACTATATAAAAGTATTTTGAAATATAAAAAATGTATTTAATATACAAATTATATTGAACTTTTATAAATGTACATTTGTAGTAATAAAAAGTAATATTATTAATGTTATTATAACATTTGTATAAAATGTAAATATAAAAATAAATATTATATTTTATATAAATGTATATTATTTGTCAATAAAAAATAAGTTATATTATACAAAAAAATATATATTTTACATAAATATATATTTTTTGTATTTATTTTTTTAAGTGTAACAACTTCCACCTGATGGATAAAATTAAGTCCCGCTTGTTTCCCGCTGACTATTCAGTTTCACTAACACAAGTTAAATGTGTTATGAAAGTCATGTTTTAACTATTTTCAACATGAATTAATCCTGATGACAAAAATACCATTTAATACTCAGGATTAAATTCTTAGAACTGTTTTCTGCTCTAGCAGCCATATTATTAAACATTTGCGTATGCATTTTTTGGAAGGTTTTGCTCAGAAAGGAAGTCATGTTTGTTTCAGCTGGTGGAAAGGCCAGAGTTTGCCGATATGATCAGAGAGGATGCTGGGAACGTGGCGGCCAGACAGGAAACTGATTCCATCCCTCTGGTGGACGAGATCCGGTTCCACATCGCCAGTAACGTTCAGACGTACAGCGAAATCGAGGAAGCCAACCAGAAACTCAGTGCCCTGGAGCTTCTGCTGGCCAGCATTGGGCTGGAGTGCTGAAAAACAAAAAGGAACTTGAGGTCGGGAAAGGGAGCGGGACGCTGAATGATTTATAAAATGCTTTACATGCACAAATAATCTGTAGCAAACTAGCATCACATTAGCAGTACCAAACTAATATGGTCGATTCTAACCAAAAACATACTTGCAGATGCGTCATATTGCAGTGGCCTGTTGCGATTTGGTGAAGCTTCCTTTATTTAGTTCTTCCTTGTGTTTTCCATGAACGAACTCACTCCAGAGAGATAAAAGCTTGACATTTTGATTTTCACGAGAGTGAGTGTTGTGTTTCAGTTAATATTAGCGTTCTTCATGATGTTCGGGCATATACTGTTCATTCTTCCAGATGTAGCAGAATATTCAACTAACTCTACAGGAAACTTGTTGTGAAGTGTTGTGGATGCAGAGTCAAAACAATTATAAATAATAAATAGCTGAACGTGATTTGAGTCAATATTTAATCAAAGATGAGGAAAGAAAGATTAATTTACATGCATTTATGAATAGGAGTGCATCGAACATGGTCGGAAGAATTTGAAAGGTCATGATAGGACTGACAGTCGTGCATATTTGATCTGAGATTTGAAGGACAAAAGGATTTCACTTGTTTTCTCTGGTGTTTGTGTGACAGCGCCATTTGTTAAAGCAAATGATTATTAATGCCTCTAAATGTGCGTTCACTCACAACTGTATCTTCCAGCACTGACATAGAAGTTTCTCTGCTTTGCACACACAGACTTCTGCTAATGTGCACGCAATATTTGCATTTAATATCAATATTATAATCAGGAAACATGCTCCGAAACCTGACTGTCCTTAATCTTTCTCAATATAAACATTTTTGGCTTGTGCTTTTCTTTTCCCTGCATTGCTTTTATTTTATTTTATTTTATTTTATTTTAATTATTCTATTTTATGCAGGTCTTAAAGTGACATGTCTACACGATGTGGTTGAAATCATCAGCATTATCCTTTGCTCATTTTCATAGCAGCACTTGAGTTTGTGTGTGTGTGTGTGTATGTTACTGAACTGGGTGCTCAGGAGAATATCCCACAAGTGAGACCCACAAGTCATGAAATATATCCATTTATGATCGGATGCGTTGGCATTGCAATTTCCTTTCATATGATTTATGGGTGGGATGCTGTGACTGAATGGGATGTACTGTAAATAGGTGAGAAAAAATAAATATTATTTAATAATGTATTACTTGTGGCTGTTTGATTTGACTTTACAAAAGTATTTCTCCGCATACTGAAATCTGAAATCGCATACTTCCCTATACTATATAGTTGGCGAAAAAACAATATGTGACAAATTCACAGTACTCATAAAACAATATGCAAAAAGTACCCAGATGAACTACTACTTCTGGTGAGATCCTGAAGTGTGCATACGATGGACACTTTACTATCCCATGAGGCCACGGGAGAGGATTTGTGAATGGAGGTGAAGCGACATAACTGACACTGGTAGGTCACGATAATGTAGTACATCCAGATTACATTTAAACTATATAGAACATATATTTTTAGCAATCATTAAGTAATTACTTATTCAAAATAATTACCTACTTAAGAGAGAATGCTATTCAGGACACAGCCTGTGTTTTCGGTCGGTCGGTTCTGCCGGTTCCAGCCCAGGTGATCTCTTTCTGTTTGCCTGCTTTTTTAATTCAATACAAATTATTATTATAAATTGTATCAGAATACTTTAAGTGAAAAGTTGAAAATATTTTAAGTAATAAATTACTCAAAAAAAAAAATGGTTAACATGAACAATGAACAATACTTTTACAGCATTCATTAATCTCAACATTTACTCAAACATTTTTAAGATCAAAAGTGGCAAGTGTTAACATTAGTTAATCCTCTGTGAACTAACTAACATGAACAGAACATTTTTATCAACTAACATTAGGTCAATAAATGCTGTATAAACATATTACTCATTAGGTAATTCATTAAGTAATATTAACATATCGTGAGCTTAGAATTATAAGGTTCTATCTCCACTTTTGGTCGAAATTGAGTTTTTGACAATCTTATCCATTAGGTGTTTATTAATGCCTGTGTGGTGTTATTTTTGTAAAAAAAAAAAAATGTTTTGTTAGTAGTTATTAATAAAATAAAAAGGTTCCATCTCACAAAACAGCAGGGATGTAAAAACTTTGATGCTCAATATCTCAGAACTACCCTAAACGGAGATAGAACCTTATAATTCTAAGCTCACGATATTAGACCTTATTGTGTAAAGTGTTACCAATATTTCTTAATATTTATGTCAGGATTTATTGATTTGTGTCCTGCAGGAGGCGCTAAGTAGGCTATTAGTGCAGGACTCAAACAGGGATCATAATTTCACTGAAGGACAAGCGTTATTTTAAACGATAACTTTTAGACATTGTCTTAAATATTGTCTGGTTTGCATCACACGTTTATGTTATATAAAGCGTCATATCAAATGTTTCGTAACGGAATGTCCCTAAAGTTTGTTCATATAATTGCGTCTAGCAGGATTTCCATTGTTTTTAATCAGCTCATGATAAAGACATATCTTTAACGCATTTGTTTTTGTATAGTGCGTTTAAAACTACCAGGGACGAAATGTGGAGATAGCATAGAATAACATGGAAATTGTCCCTTCCCATTTATTATAGCTAAGTTATAAACCTCTGAAAACCCATTTCAAATTCTCGTTTGCTGGAGTTTGGTACTTGTCAAAGGACGGCGCGAAGCTTCATGTTTCTCCAGGCAACAGGAGGCAAAATTACCATGACAACCGACTCCAGTGAAGGCCTATCAGAGCACCATTGCGTTTCTCTGACATCCATCATATATGTGTGTTTGTGTGACTCAGATCCCTGAGTCACACTCAATAGAGACATGTCATGAATCTGTAACTAACCAGGCAGCGGTGGATCTATAACTTAATGTGAGGATACTAATACTGTAGGTCTGCAGTGATCCCACTCACCGCTCGGTTTAAACCTACACCCACAAAGATCTCAGAACCAGTACAACTCCCACTTCACACACACACAGCACTCGCCGAGGTACAGCCAGATCTGATGATGTAATCTACCATCATGTGTTTTGATCAGGAGGAACAATAAAACACCAAACGCTCTAGACAAGCTGAGGAAGGCAATGCTTGTAAAATATGCTTTTTTTTGTCTCTTGGCATAGGCTACAGTATAAACTAGATGAGTAAAGTTTGATGACAAACTTTGATGTTGACTTGACAAAGCCAGGTCTGAAAGTTTAAAATAACTTTAAACAGCTTGACCTTTGAAGGTTTTAGCACATTGTTGGCATGAATTAACATGTTGCTAGCATGATTTAGCATGTTGCTAGCATGTTTTACCACATTGTTAGCATGATTTAGCACTTTGCTAGTGTGAATTAGCATTCTTCTAGCATGAAAAAGTACGTTTTAGCACATTGCTAACATGTATAGGCTATTATGTTTCGCGAATGAGCATGTTGTACGCATGATTTAACATGTTGGTAGCATGAATTAACATGTTGCTATCATGATTTACCGTATTGTTCCGAATATAAGACAACCCTGATTATAAGACGGATTATAAGATTTTTTTTCTCAAGATGTGACTTTTGGAAAATGCTTTTATTTGAAATACTGCATATTTTTCATATTTAAATTTTTGTGTCAGCGAGGCACGCAAACATGACAGTCCCGCGGCTCTTAGACGGTAAGCTTTTCTTTGACTGTTTGCGTTTTTTAAGACTGTCTTGTGATCTTCTAACATTACACTTTGACACACCGTATTTATTGCCACACTAGTTTTATATGTATTTGGCACCACCTGTTGTAGCAGGTTTTTTGTTGACGTAAAAGTATAGACCCGGAATATAAGACGGTACCCCGTTTTTTCAGATGCATTTCTAAGAAAAAGAAAACATTGTCTTATATTCATAACAACACGGTTAGGCTATATGTTGGTAGCATAAATTACACATTGCTAGCATGATTTAGCATGTTGTTAACATGAATTAGCATGTTGCTAGTATGATCAGAGATTGTTTTAAAGGGAGATGAGAGGGTCTGTATCTCTTACCATTGTAGAGATACAGACCCAATTCAAAGTTTTATGACAGTCAGTAACAGCTTATAAGCGTATACGTTGATACGTTTCTTGGGGATTATTAGCGCGCAGGTCTTGTGAATAAATGTTCTATATTTGCAGTTATATCACTAGCAAAGTTACAGTAGGCCTGCATTGTTTGCAAAAAAGCGAGAATAACTCTATTGCAAAGTTTTTTTTAACCATTCTTCATTAAAAAGCGTTATATCATCATCCTTAGGCACTCAGCAGTTGACACAACACTACAATATAACAACATATTTATAATTAAATTATTAATTTTGTATTTATTCATTAAAGTGCATAATATCAGCATGATATCATATGCATACATGCAGTTATAATAGTCATTGCAATTCAAGTCTTATCATAACTGGTAAAACCTGAAAGCCAAAGATAGAAAACATCTGTATTTTTAACTTTTTTAGACAATATTCAATATCACTCAATGTTACTACCGTATTAAATACTATGGTAATGCCGCAAATGAGTCTTACCTGTCGCGACATTCCCTTCTCTGCCTTCTCTTATAAAATAACCTTTTTATCATAGTAAAATCTACATATCGTTCCCAACAAAAGTACTGTTTAGCATAAAACATGTTGAAAATTAGCGAACAGGCTGTCGATTACTCAAATGATAAGGTGTTTCCTCACAAAAGCAGTTTATTCAGTGTAGTGAAACCTCTTCTCCATTGACATCCATTCATAAAAAAAATGGCCTCTGCTCTCCTTTCCTGCGTATGCGTTAGCATTAGCCGTTACGCTTTTTTGGCTGAAGGTTGCAGGCTTGTCATCTAGTGGCTTTGAGTACGAATTAGCATGTTTTAGAATGTTGTTAACATGAATTACCATGTTGCTAGCATGATTTAGCATTTTGGTAACATGAATTAGCATGTTGCTAGCAACATTTTACAATATATTCAAATAGAAAACAGTTATTTTAAATTATAATAATATTCCACTGTTTTTTATTGTATTTTTAATGTGTTTTAGTATTTTTGATCAAAGAAATGCTGCCTTGTAAGAAAAAAACTTTTTTTTTAAATCTTACAGACCCAAAACTTTTGAACGGTAAACAGTGTACCTATGTGGTATTCTTCCTTTTTAGGAGTTTTAATTTGTCCAAACACTTCTTGGAATCACTGATCAAAGCAGGATTGTAGATTGGGTTTCTCTAAGCCTGCTAGAGTATTTGTGTCAGCTGAAGTTTCCCTTGCACAAAATTACCATGGTAACCGTTTTCTGCCAAAATGAAAGGAGAATGGCATGCAGGTCAAAGTCTGACAAGTAGGCAAATATCCTACTCAGATATTAAAC